AAAAAAAAAATAAGAAAAAGAAAGAAGGCAGCAAAGCTGTCAAATGTACAGTCATCAACAAAGAAAACCTAGAGGATCAGAGAGGCAATACTGCCTCTGGGTATTGTATCATCAGCTGGAGTAAGCACATTCGTATAAAAAAAAAGAAGTTCAATAGTAACTATGGGCATATCTCAGCCAGTTTTGGAGATAAAAGGGATATAAAAGTTACAAAGTTCAGTTTATGGTGAAAAGTAGGTCAAAGTTAGATTGCCAGTATATATCTTCCTATTCAAGTTCAATAGTAACTATGGATGTACCTCGGCCAGTTTTGGAGATTTAAGGAATAGAAAAGTTTAGTTCATGGTGAAAAGTGGGTCAAAGGTCAATTTTAAGGCCACAGTTAGATTGTAAGTATATGACTTCTTATTCAAATTCAATAGTAACTATGGGCTTATCTCTGCCAGTTTTGAAGATATAAGGGACGGAAACCTTGCAAAGTTCAGTTCATAATGAAAAGAAGGTAAAAAGTCAATTTCAAGGTCACATTAAGATTGCCAGTATATGACTTCCTATTCAAGTTCAACAGTAACTATGGGTGAATCTTTGCTAATTTTGGAGTTACAGTAATGTGCCATGAATTTCATATAGAAGAAATTAATTAAAATAACAAAATGATTGTTTTGGTCGAAATTCATGAAATGGAAGGTGTTCAGAAATTCCAGATGTTGGAATTTCACAAAATTCTGTCAATTTTGACAGGATGTTGTCTGTCCTTCACTTAGCCTAATGTTATCTTTTCCTGACCCGAAATTCATGGCACATTACTGTTTATTTTACATTTTATTTTCACCACCACGTGGTACTTTTTGATATGGGCAACTCGTAAAACTTATGGAAAACAAAAAAATGGACACTTCCAGTGTTGCGCTTGACAAGCTTTATAAATTGCAAAAAACAAATGGTCTCTAGCATTAATACTTCCAGAATTTAAAAAAGCTTTCAGTTTTGGCTTCTAATGGCTGCTTCTCCCGTGAAAATGCACTGACTGACCCCATACTCACTAAGATGAAAGATGACCCTAAGGGTAATACCTGCCCATAATATTATAGGTTGGGTCTGTGCAGTTTCTGAAAATCGGCACATCCGAGTAGTGCCGAGTGCATAAACGTACACAAAGAAAGCATGGCATCTTCTACGAGTGACTACTTAAAATAATGTGTTAAGTTATCTCTTGATTCTTTGCAAAATATGAGTATATCGGAATTGAAACCAGAGCAGTTTGATGCCCTGCATCATTATCTACTGATGGATGATGTATTTTGCATGCTGCCCACAGGTTACGGCAAGTCCCTGATATTGAGCCTTATCTCTGATTGGTCCGGATTTGAACAAAGCGCGCTTTGAATCGTTCGCGTTCATTGGCTAGATAGTTCAATGAGTCATTGAGTGCGGGCTTTAAATTTGATTGGCGGGTGGCGGGGGCAATCGAATGTGGTCAGAGGTAACTTTACACGATGAAGATAGGCTATAGTGAAGAGGTTAGCGTCAAGTTATCTCTGAAGCTCAGGGTGATTTGTAGTGGAAGCACACGAAATAATTTTTTTTATCAATTTTGATGCAATACTGCATAATATTAAATCACCATCAATTGGATATTCATAAAATGTGACTAGCAAAGCTTTTCAAATGCATGGAAGTTAAAAACACACCTTGAAAATGCCAATATGTGAAGAACTAACATTTCATTAACAATGGCATAACTTAAAGAAAAACTAGAGGATCAGAGAGGGGATACCGCCTCCAGATATTGTACCACCAGCTGGAGTAAGCGCATTCGTATGGACCCCCCCCCAAAAAAAAAGGGACACCACCACCAGTCTTGTGCTTGACAAGCTCTATAAAATGCAATCAACAAGAATTCTCAAAATATGCAAAAAAAATATAACTAAAAATGGTACAATCAAAGTTCAATTAATACTAAAAAGTAGGTCAAAGGTCAATTTTAAGGTCACAGTAAATTGCCAGTATGTGACTTCCAATTCAAATTCTTGAAATGGGAGATGCTCAGAAGTTCCAGATGTTCAAATTTCATGAAATAATGTCATTTTTGACCAGAAGTTGTCTGCCTCGCCAAGCCTTATGTTTTATTTTTCTTGGGGTTCAAAATTTATTATCCATTACCATAGTGCACATTTTGCTTTCACCACCACAATGTACTTTTTGATACAGCATAATTCCAAAACCGTATGGAATACAAAAAAACGGAGACCACTTATAGTGTTAGGCTTTACATGCTCTACAAAATGCAGAAAAGAATGGGTCTCTAGCATTAACGGTTCCTGAATTAGAGACAGTTTTCAGTTTTGGTATCTTATGGCCGCTACTCCCGTGAAAATGCACCAATTGACCCCAAATTCACGGAGATGAAAGATGACCCGAAGGGTAACACTTTCCAATAATATTATTGGTTAAGTCTGTGTAGTTTCTGAATATCAGCACAAATATTTTTTTTCCTTAAAAAATTTTGTTTTTTGAAAGTTTTGGCCCGTTCAACCTTGAAAAAAAGGTCAAAGATCAAATCCAAGGGCATATTTGAAATCTCCCCATATGCCTTTCGGGCAGCCGTCTGTAGAAATTTATCCCATAATTCCTTCCGTAGGGTAGATAATTAGCATTTAATTTTGCCATTTTTGGACAAGGGTGCATTGCAATGAGTGCCACACCTAGACCCCAGCACCGACAAAGCCCAAATTTTACGTGGAATGAGTTGAGATTATATGAGATGGGTACATAGGCCCTAGTAGCCCTAGTAGTCTACGAGGAGAAGCGGTAATGATGACTTGGTGGCGGAGCCAGCGAAACATACGGGTCGGGACTAAAACCATGTGTACCGCCAACGCCTACGCTGGTGGTACAATAATCCAATCAGTTGGTTTTTCCCACTCAAGCTGTGTTTTAGTCCTATCATACTTTTCTGTAAGTTTGAGAATCACAGGTGACATCACTTTCCTTAAAAGGTCACTGTAGTGTCAAAATAGGGCTTTCTTCAATTTTGATGCAATGTTACATAATGTTCAAAAGCATAATCACCACAGATTTTTAATATGCACTGCAGGCAGCACAGATATTTAGAAAATATGATTATGCCAAAGGTCTTTAGGCCCATGAAATTTCAAAGTCACACCTTGAAAATGCTAATATGTATACAAGAGATAGCTGTAGTGAATGAGTTTATTTACATTTTCAACAATTTATGACATAACAGGGCAATTTTTTAATACCTGACATCGCCCCTGTGTGGTATTGCCCAGAAAAAATGTTTTAGAGATCAATGAAATGGACATATAGTGATCAGAATATAAACAGACATGCTAATTGACTGTATACAAATGTTTCCCCTTGTAACTTACTTCCTGCATGAACATATGGCATAGCTATGTTATGGAAACATTGAAAGTTGTCATCAAAGACATGAACAAATTTTCAGAATTAGACAGAAAAGCTGACAAATATACAGACACCATACATAAGGCAACAATGCTGTCAAAAAATTTACAGAAAAAAGGGCACAAAATGTTTTGGCCAATTTTGACGCACTGCCAGATAATCCTTTAAATTAGCATAATCACTCCTACCCTTTCAAATTATGAGCTAAAGGTAACATGGACACGGAAAAACTAGCAAGTGATTCAATTCCATGTGATATAGGTGCCACTAAAAATGCTTATGTGTGAAAATTGAAAATTTCACACATAAAAAAAAAAAAACAGAATAATTACCATAAATGTAAACTGATAATAGTGATTTTCTCAAGCAACCTGCCTCACCAAACTCAGTTAATTTAGAGTAAAAACCAAAATACAGTTTGAAAGTTATGAGGCAAACGACACCAATATTGTGAAAAAAAAAAAGAATAATTACCGTAAATTGTAAAGTGATCATGCTAAATTTCGAAAGCAACATACCTCTTTACCAAGCAAAGCCACTCAGTAAATTAAGAGTAAAAATCAAACTATGTTTTGAAAGTTATGAGGCTAACTAAACATCACCAAAATTGTGATAAAAGAAAAAAAACAATAATTGCCAATTTTCGATAGTGACCTGCCTCTTTACCAAACAAAACCAATCAGAAAATTTTAAGAAAAACAAAAATATGGTTTGGAAGTTATGGGGCAAATGTCAGACAGTGACATTGATGGTGACAGCAACGGCAATGCATGGACAGACTTACAGTGTCTGTGTAGTGTCTTACAGTGTCTGTATATAAAAATGGTCAGATCAAGCTGATTTTCTAACTTGACCACCATTTTATAAATATTCATCAGAACTGTCAGTATGAAGACAAAATGTCAAACGTGTTTCCACTTATTATCACTAAAACTGCACGGTCACGACGGCGCCGACAGATGCAGGTGACAGTTATATGTACAGATATGGTGTGTCTGTATATAAAAAATTCCCCTACCTAAAAGTGTTGCCATTGTGGGTTTGAGATTATCAGACCAGTCCTTATTAATAGCTTCATAAATCCCAGCAAAATCTTTCTGCCACATCTTCTGGCCTATGGTCCAAATGTTCCCCAATTCAGGGTTAGCCTGAAACAAGATAAACATTAATGAGCTTTAGAGCTATTACAATCTGGCAATAAAAATCAAAGCACTGAGGGTGGCAGTGTATGACTACGTAATATAACACAATTTTAACAGAACACAGTGTAATTTTATTTAATTTTAAAGTGCAATTTTTTAGGTACCAGCCAAAGTGGCAAGGTGGTGGTTTTCAAAACCATTCATAACTTGGCAGATACAAGCATCTCGTTGACTAACTTATGCCAAAGGTTTTTCCTCAAACTTGATTTCAAATGAATTATGAGCCATTTAATTTTCTCTGTTTTGAAGGCAAACTTTAAGTAGATCTTAAAGCTAATATAATTGTCAATTTTTCATTTAATCCACCATGATACTTTTTCTTCTTCCCTAAAATCATGTTTCAGCTACGTAATTTTCAAAATGGCAAATTTTCACTTAAGCAGGGCCTGTGAGCATCAAATTTTCATGGTCAGTCAAAATAAAAAGAGAGAGAGAGAGAGAGAAGGGTGGGGATCTATAGGGGTAGGTCAAGATAAATATGAAATTAGAGACCATTCCCAGAGATGACTATTTATGTCTTTCCAGATAATCTTGAACTTAAAATGCACAATTATTATACAACATTGTGTTGTCAAAAGAGAGTTCAGTTATCTTGTACTTTTTTCTTGTTCATTGGATAATAACAGTTATAGTTTGAGAGAGTTTAATGTGTAATCATAAGTTTAACCTTTCATAAAAGCAACTTTTTTCATAAAGGATAGATATAAAGAGAAATCTGAGCTGATCATTGGGATCAACCCTTATGGACTGGAGGAAGAATGTATGCAGGATTATGTTATGACATGAAATATTGCTGTCAGATATGACTTATCTCTACATCGTAACCTGTCAGAAATTATTTCAGCATTCTTGAACTTCATTTTGGTTCATTAGAAAGTATATGTAACATGACTTTTGTTTGAGAGAGTTTAATATTTCACCATGAATGCAACCATTCATGTTAGCATTTTATTATTAGTTCAGTCATTCACAGAAGCAAGGCATTTTTCACACTTATGTATTTATGATAACCAATGTAAAATAACAATAATTCAGTTCATGAATAGATCTTCATTTCTGCAACCATTTGCTTAAACATATAGGAAAAGTGCACATTTTGTATGAATAAAAGTAAACATGAAATGCACAACATTGATGACATTATGTTGCACAATTCAATGACAGATTATCAGGGGCCCTAGATGCTGTTACTAAGCAATTTGTCAATTTATTTAGAAGTCCACAACTGGTGGTCACAATTGTTAAGAATGTGCAACCTACAAGAACTAAATGTGTATAGTCAGATTTTCTTTAGCAATTCCCGTCAGGTCATGGGACAAAAGGTTTGGAGTGTACATACATGACATTGTTACATGTGACCAAAATTTTTGAAAGGGATGAGGAGACACTTTAAAGTCACATGCAATTAACATGCATGGCAGAATGATTCTTGTTTTCTACAGAGTTGTGATAACTTTGGAATTGAGAACAAATAACAATACTTGGCAGATTCTCTTCAAAAACAATCATTAAAAGAGCAAAGTTAGGAAAACCAGTAAAATTCAGAACCCAATGATCTTTTTCTCGAAATTTCTCTGACAAATAAAAAGAACTGATCCGTTCTTTCAGTGTTATATTTTCAGTTCTGAGTGTCACTTCATACAAATCCAATTAAATAACTGTCATGCACTGGATTTCAGTCTCCTGATGTTCAGATCCTGTCTCCTCAGCTGGTCACAAAGATCTAGGAATATTATTTTGCTGCTTCTACCTTGTGTATCATCTAGCTGCCTTTTGTACCTGTCATCAAACGCTTCCGTGTTTTTTTGATAATTTACTTGTACCCAATCAATGTGGCTTGGTGGGAAAATGCCTGATCAATTTTCTAAATGTAAATTAATAAAAAGATAACAATAGTGATTTTTATTCATATTGTAACTTACAACATTATAGTTGGAAGGAGCAGAATTTAACATTTTTACAGAGGAAAATGCAAATTCATTTCATGAGGTTATATGTCAATTACACCTGAGGTAGAAATACTTGCAAAATAAAATTACTCTTAACACTACACCAAATCGAAAATTAAGCCACTAACTTCCAAATACACTTCATACAGGTAATTGGTTTAATTGGCCCAGCTCAGCTGTGGACAAAAATAGCCTTGACACTAAATGACAATAATGCTAACCAGGTATTAAAGAGGTAGGTGACAGCCGATAAAATCCGGAGAGCACCGTAACTGATAACAAATTACACCCAAGGCAATAAGTGAGTCTTCATAATATAAGTCGAAACCCTGCCTGGGTATTTCCACACATTTTAAGAACACCCAAACTCCACCCAAACTTTTTTTATTTAACTACATACACTACTTTAAATATATATGTAGTGTACGTGCGCCCCAAACGTACACACCTAGGTCTTTGATTTTCTGTTTTTTCTTTTATGGTAAAATCTGCACAGCTGGGCCTTCATTCTTTGCTATGAAATAAATTAGTTTTATCCTTTACTTGTCTTGATTCAAAGCCACCTCGCCGTCTCTCCTCCGTTTATGGTTTTAGTTCCTTCACCTTGAATTGTTACCACTGCAGGCAGTCTGTGAACGCTTGTAAAATTAGTTATCTGCTCTCGGTCAAATACCCTACAGTAATTCATCATTTTGCTCGGTTAAATATCAAAGAAAATACAGAAAAAGAAATCTGAACTACAGACATGGCTTGTTCATGCGCAGCAGACGATTCGGGTCTCCCTCCAGTATGGCTGCCGTTTGTGTTGATGACGCAGGCTCAAATGGGTCTATACAGAAGCATTTTTAATCTGAGAAACATTTTATGCAGGCCATCTTCTGGGTCTTTCAGAAGAGGGTTTGAATTTTTCAAGTTTACAGTGATGAGCATCTAATTTTTTTCTGTCAGAATTCTGTCAAAAATGGAGGATGGATCAACAAAGATAAATTTGGAAGACTGTCAGAAAATATCTCAGAACAGTAGTGCACTATACGTACCGACTTTACTGCTGCAGGTATTCTCTTCCACAGATATTTGGCATTATTTCTGAAAATAAACACATAAACAAAAAAGTAGCAACATCATCAATGTGAGGAAAAAAATTATCATAATCAAATAACTTTTGTCATAGTTTAATAAGGGACAGAACTGATGATATAATTTTAATGACAGCCTTAACGTGACAAGATCAGATTTTAACACGTTAAGCACATAAACCACTTTTGTGAATTTATCTGAAGCCACGTAATACTTTTTGATAATATTTTTGCATATATTATAAATGCCATGAATTGATGTTGCCGAAAGTTATCAAACTGACTAACTCCTGGCAATTCTCTCTAACAGTCATTTAGTTTGGCACTATTCTAAACCGTGCACAACCCTGAAGTCATTGTGATAACTGACTTGGAGGAATGGTGGAATTTGAAAAAAAAAAAAAACATTAAAGGACTTTTGAATTTTCCCAGATCATTATAGAGTTAGTAAATGGGAAGTGTCAGGAAAGGAGGATCATTGGTTGGTTGGTAAGAGAAAAATATCAATTACTCCCAGATAATTCATATGTATGAGCTTTTTTTGCAGGAAAATCTTCCAATGTGTCTTTTTAAATAGCTTACTGTTTTCCAAAATGTAAAAAGTCCAATATTTATACTTACAAGTCATTTTGCACAAGGTAAATAGTCAGCAGTTGTCCATAAATTTGTGGGGTGGCAACACCTCCTGGGGACTGAAAATAATAAACAGTTGTCCATGACCTCTTTCTGGGCCCTATACGTTTTTTTTTTTTTTTGTTTTTTTTCACAGCAAAGCACTGTCTTATGTTGATTTTCCAACTATTCCATATGGGAGAATGCTTGTGGATGGTGCTTAGTGCTTGTGGACGGTTGTGGATGATAGTGGTCAGTTGTGCTTGGTTGTGGACAGTGTTTAGGTACACCGCTTAGTCTACTGTGGCTGTGGTAGTTGTTTATAAAACATCTTTCTGGTTCAAAAGTACAGTACAGACATGCTGAAATCGACGGTCCGATCAGTCATGACTGGCAAAATTTGTCTTGACTGGTAAAAAATTTGACTTAGTCGGTCCAAAGGAGTTTTAAGAGCCTCAATTTTGAATTCACAGCCATCAATCGACATACTTCACAAATAAAATTATATAAGACCCAAAGCTTTTTTCCCTTCCATTTCAAACCTATCACATTCACAAACAAAGTGAGCTACCCTAATAATACTGGTAACTTGAAAAAGACCACAGGTAATTACAAAAACATTTTATTTAAACAGTTTTGACATAGATGAACAACAAATTGTAAAAAAAACTGTAAAAAACTATTTGAAAAGCGAAAGTTACAGGGGGGGGGGGGGTATACTACAAAAGTACCAATTTTTCATTACTACCGGCCCAAATGTCCAACCATTCTGAATAGTTTTCAGCATGTCTGAAGTAAATTAATTTTTACGATGCAGAACCCAAATGCGATCTCAATGAGGTTTTATTTGCGTACCTAGCGGTCTTTGTCGGTCCAATATTCTATCCATTTGTACCTTTTAAAAGACCCGCAAACTGAGGCAAGTAAAGATTAAACTGCTTGATCAGATTTTGCGAAGAAATGGCAGACGAGAAATTATCAAGTACTCAATCACATTTACCTGATTTACGACATGAGAAATCCTTACAATACAGACTTTTTAGTTTACCTCTAATTCCTGATTTTCTAATTGTTTTCCAAGCTGCGTAAGTTCCTCGACTGTTGTCATCGCGGAAGGCATGTCGCGAAAGCTAACGGAAGTAAGCTGGTGTTGAAAGGTGAGTGTTACGGAGTTGAAAAGCTATCGTTCATTTTGAGGATATATTAAGAATTTTCAATATCTGTTCGGCCTCATGCTTTAATTTTCAATCTTTATTATGATTATACTATAAAAACCAGTAGGTAATAGTAATATGTTGAAGAGTATTCGGTTTGTTTTCTTTGCGTATGCAGAATGACTACCGCACATAATTTCCGGAACAAAACAAAGAACGAAAAGACGGGTACGCACAAAACCCATCATACAATGGGTAAGCACCCTCTGTAGTTGTCCAGTAATTTACAGCACTTTTTCAGTACATTATTTCATTTTTTCCAACATTTTCATAAATGAGCACAATTGAGTTTGTATGAGTTCACTCTTATGTCACGTAATGTATATTGCATAAATATAAATGCATGTCGATCGTCCACAGCACTGCCACTGGGGAACCTGTATAGGTTATCATTTTTGAAAGTCTGTCAAAATATTCGTATGTGTTGTATTACAATGGAGGTGCTTTCATGTGAAAGGTGATGGGTTTGTCTTATTATGACAAACTATTCTGTGTTTCCAAACATTGCTGTGTATTTTAAACTTTGTAATTCTTACACCCCATTTCCATAGATTTTTAGATCGATCTATCCCTGTGGGGAGTCTCACTAGATTACTGTCACCTTGGCCGGCTTAAGCGTCTGTCCCGCCTACTAAAGGCTGTAAGGGGGTAATTAAATATGGTGCCCGCTCGGCTGACTGCAATTTAGCGTGAGCCCCCAGGGAGTTAGGTCGATCTAAAACTTAATCTTTAGATCGATCTAAATCTCTGGGAAAGCACCCTTAGCCAAAAAATGACACTCAAACCGCGCTTAAATCAAACACAGACATACATTATACATATGTACCAGTCTGTTTTACAGTTGTGCATTATGGAAAATAAAACTCAGAATAGGATTCATGTTTATTGGTCATCTCAGGGATCATTTACAGCCATGCAGACCTTGATGAATTTTTCTCAACTTTGTAGTGTTCACAAATATAATTCCCAGACATGTAAATTAATTTGATTAGAGTCGATTGCTTGTGCACTCGACTCGTTTTATGGCCTAACCTGTAGTCATGTAACTTAAGTGGACGTGTGCAATTTGAATAATTAAAATTAGTATGTACCGCCAAATACTGCAGCACAGAATCCACCTATAGATAAGAAATACGTATAAAAGACGTCTAGAAATAATATTGGGGGTCAGACTGAAGAATACTGGAATCATTTTGTGCATCATCATTTTCTGCTTTTTGTCTGTATATTTGACAGCTTTGCTGCCTTGTTTTCAAGGTCGTCAAATTCTAGTTTTTTGTTACTTTGATCTGTGTATCTGCTATTCAAATAATTTGAAATTCATTTACTAATTTAATAATGATAATCATTAACTTTGCTAGTTGAAGTAGTTCACATGTACAGTACCTTGCTATTGATTCTGCTCTTTTTCTGATAAATCTAAGTCCACAACAGGCTATAACCATTGTTTCGAAACAATGTTGGTATATGTGCAAGCTTATGTATCTTCCAGAACATATGCAGTAGAACTTGACCTCCTAACATTGGCTGAAGTAGCAGTTGCCAAGCAGAATGCAGTATAAAATGGTGCTTTCTATATATAGCTACAGGTGTTATTGCAGCCACATTGAATAATTTTAAGTGCACATATGATGTAGACCTGCACCCATATTTTTAACATGCTCACAAATGTATAACATTGTCACAGAAAAGGGTTTTCAATTTATTTTCAGCCCAAGAAGAGATATCATCTCCCATGACAGGCATCTCAGAAAATGAAGAAGATGATGAAGATGAGGATGGCTCAGACTTGGACCAAGATGGTGCCTACAGGAAGAATTCCCGTCATGCCATCACAGGGAGAGGGGTGACACTGGGGATGTTACTGAATGATAGAATAGTGGAGTCAGGGGAGGGACTGCTGTCCATTGATTATTTGGTAAATTTGGGGTCTTGGTAACAGGGAAGATTTGTTTATATATTAATTTTTGTGGGCTAAAAACTCTCATTCCTGTTCCTCTAACAAATGTTTGTCATGTACACCAAATTTAGTCCTGCTATCCCTTCTTTTAGAGTACAACACATTGCCACATATACTGCAGAAACTGTCACATCATCAATAATAACACAATTTCACATTATATGCATTAATACAATTGTATTTCATATAAAATTTTGGTCTGGCTTAAATGGGATATGCTTGCACATGCATATTCAGTATAGCTTGTGATATGCGACTTTTGGAGATGGAAAAAATAAATAAGATCTATTTCATTCTCAAGTATTGCAAAGGAACTGTTGTGCAATGCAGTTACAATTTATTATGTATGTACAGACGCCTCTCACACGCCTCCCTACGTGTCATCCCTCAACCTGAATTGAGCCAAGATTTAATTACTGTGCCCCTGCAGGGACGACGCATCGGAAGGCGTGTGAGAAGCGGAGACCATTACATGATTAAGTGGTCTTACTTTCATGTAGGCCCGCCAAGCTAGCACTTAGCTCTTCATTCTGAATGGGGCCTTACTCTTCTTAACCTTACTGAAAAGTAACATAGTACTAAAATACAGCTTCAGTTGGTAAACCTGTCTTATTGGTTTGCTTTTCTGGAAATCATATAGTTTTTGTCAGAATTAAAATTTTCACATATTGCCATTTTTAAGGTGTGACTTTGAACTTCCATGGAATTGAAGACCTTTTGCTAGTGACAGTCACATTTTCAAAATATCTATGATGGTTTTATTTTATTATTAAAATTGTTGGTCATTATGCTGTTGAGCATTATTTAATATTGCATCAAAAATGAAGAAAACCCCATTTTGGGCACTGCCTCCAAAGTGACCATGTAGGAAAACCATGTCACTTACTTTTCTTAAACTTAGGCCACACTTTTTTATTTTTATGGATGACATCCTGCTGCGCGCGCACCGATTTTCGTCCGTTCTCAAAAACAAAAAAAACAAAAAAAAAAAATCCCCCCCCCCCCAAGGAAGTCGGTTGTCGCAAACGTCAATATTGAATTTGCCGGAAAATGCAATCGGCAATCCTCGGCTAATTCCGCAAGCTCCACATCGTTATTGTCGACTGCGGAGACATCCGAGTTGTTCTGAGTGCGGAAAATGAGCTTTCTGCGCATGCGTATTATCACCACGTGGAAATATGGCCGCTTTGCCGTCAAATTCATTTCTAGCATTAATTTCAAAATACACGACAATTAAAGTCATAAAGAGAACGGGGGCCGTCATTCATTTTTTATTGAATTAATGCAATTTTTTTGTGAAATTTTCATTTTTCTCATTCTGGCATTTTCTTAGTGTGAACTTGAACTCTCATGGGCCTGAAGCCTTATGCTTTTACTTGCATCGGTTTTACCTGTTGTGCATAGTTAAAATTTGATGTTGCATTTGCAGTTAAGCACAATGTATCATTGCATCAGAATTGACAATATCCTATTTTGTATCCTTTTGTGTTTTATTGTACCACCAGCGGTGGCACTGGCGGTACACATGGTTTTAGTCCCGTCCGGATTTTCGCCGGCTCCGCCGCCATGTTACCATTACCGCTTCTCCTCCTAGACGGTAAGGGCCTCCGTACCCACCTCATGGATTTAGGTCACCTATAATCTCAACTCGTTCCACGTAAAATTTGGGCTTTGTCGGTAATGGGGTCCAGGTGTGGCACTCATTCAATACACCCTTGTTCAATAATGGCAAAATTAAATGCTAATTATCTACCCTACGGAAGGAATTATGGGAAAAATTTCTACGGACGGCTTTCTAAAAGTCATATGTGTAGATTTCAAATATGCCCTTGGATTTGACCTTTGACCCTTATTTCAAGGTCAAACGGGCCAAAATTTTCAAAAAAACGGAATTTTTTACGAAAAAAAAATTATTTGTGCTGTTATTCAGACACTACACAGACTTAACCAATAATATTATTGGAAAGTGTTACCCTTAGGGTCATCTTTCATCTCCGTGAATTTGGGGTCAATCGGTGCATTTTCAGGGGAGTAGCTGCCATAAGATACCGAAACTGAAAACTGTCTCTAATTTCAGGAACCGTTAATGCTAGAGACCCATTCTTTTTTGCATTTTGTAGAGCATGTAAAGCCCAACACTGGGGGTGGTCTCCGTTTTTTTGTATTCCATACGGTTTTCGAGTTACGCTGTATCAAAAAGTACATTGTGGTGGTGAAAGCAAAATGTGCAGTACAGTAATGGATTATAAATTTTGAACCCCTGGAAAATAAAACATAAGGCTTGGCGAGGCAGACAACTTCTGGTCAAAAATGACATAATTTCATGAAATTTGAACATCTGGAACTTCTAAGCACCTCCCATTTCAAGAATTTCAACCAAAATGACCTTTTCTTTATTTAATTAATTTTTTCTGTAGGAAAATTATGGCACATTATTGTAACTCCAAAATTGTAACGTTTAGTCCCCTACATCTCCAAAACTGGCAGAGATAGGTCTGTAGTTACTATTAAAGTTGAACAGGAAGTAGCATACTGGCAATCTAAATGTGACCTTGAAATTGACCTTTGGCCTACTTTTTACCATGAATTGAACTTTGCAAGTTTTTGTTCCCTTTTATCTCCAAAACTGGCAGAGATAGGGCCATAGTTACTATTGAACTTAAATAGGAAGTCATATACTGGCAATCTAAGTGTGACCTTAAAATTGACCTTTGACCTACTTTTCACCATGAACTGAACTTTGCAAGTTTTTGTTCCCTTTTAACTCCAAACCTGGCAGAGATAGGTCCATAGTTACTATTGAAGTTGAATAGGAAGTCATATACTTTCAATTTACTGTGACCTTGAAATTGACCTTTGACCTACCTTACGATGAACTGAACTTTGATTGTACCATTTTCAGTTATATATATTTTTTGCATTTTTTGAAAATACTTGTTGATTGCATTTTTTACAGCTTGTCAAGCACAAGACTGGTGGTGGCGTCCCTTTTTTTTGTGTGTGTGGGGGGTCTATATGAATGTGCTTACTCCAGCTGGTGGTACAATATTCGGATGCGGTATCGCCTCTCTGATCCTCTAGTTATTTTCTGCTTTTTGTCTGTACATTTGACCGCTTTACTGCCTTGTTTTTTTTACTAATTTTTAAGCTCTTTCTGCAGATGTAATGCAAGTTATTGTATGCATCAAAGAGGGCTTCATAATTATGACTACAAACCTGACTTTTCCCAGCACAAATAATGAAAATAAAGATAAAATCAATCAAATAAAGGAAACCGTAAATGTTATGTAATTTGGTTTTTATGAACAGCCACATGATATCTGAATGAGAGAGAAATGATGGGGGAGATTTTGAATCTGTTTTATTTTAAAAAGTCTGAAATCATTTTCAGGATGTCTGCAGGTATGCCCTATGTGTGAACGATCTTGGTTGTTGTTTCAACAATAAAATATTAAAATATCTGTGTTAGTTTCACTCAAGTTTTGGTGAGAAAAACACTGGAATTTATAAGCTTGAAATCTTGTACAGACCAGGACGCTAAGGGAGGATAAAAAGCATAACAATATTGATACCAGTAGTACATCCAGCCTGTTGTTGTTGACAGGTATTTAATCAGAGTAAACTACTTTTTCTGTCTTTGGCAAGCTCCAATTTTGCAGAAGGGCAGAAGATGCCTATCTTTTCATTATCTTTCATGTAACCATTTACACTGACATTCCAGATTTTAATTATCTTCCTAGCAATGCAACCCATACTTGACATGGAATTTTTTAGAATTGTGCAAAAGTTATAATTTATGTAGTCTTTTGAATTGTGAAAAAATTCCATTTGCTGAGAAATTGAAAATGTATGTGGTTGACTAAAAGCGAGTTAGAATATAACCCAATTTTATCAGAACTGCACACCTTGCACATGCCACATACACATAGCACTAGTGCAGAGGTGGGTGTCTAGTATTCTAAAACATTAAGTGTCAGCAATAACACTGTCACAACTACTATAATAAGCTATGATGAAGTGTAGCAGTATTTTTTTTCTAGGGTAGAAAGTTCTCAGCAGACCTCCAGCCCAATGGAAAAATTTGGTGGCCAGAGGGCAAAATGTCCTTCAACTCTCCCAGTGCTTGGGCCATTCACTGCAAGAAGATGGTCAATCCATCCAAGAAGTCGGGATGTGGATGGGCATCGGTCGGTATATATTTGTGATAGCTAACTGCTATTATTGGCATACCAGTAACTGGATAGCCCTGGCATAACAAGACATGGTATAATTTTAGTTATGATGGGATTTAAGTTGTGCCATGACAGACAGATAATAACTGAAAGTTATGTTATAACATATTTCAATATAGTAAAAAGTATTCTTTTTGTTAAATGACTGGCTGTATGATATAACATTTCCCATAAAAAAAATTGTGTGAGAAAGATACTTAATCATAATTAGATAAAATTGGATCAGATAATTAAAAAAATACAAATTATAGCCTTAGAGAGATTTTATTGAACAATTGGTATTTTTATCTTGAAGGTAAAATATAAAGGAAGGAAATTGGATGCCTGGAAGACAACTTGGTTTAGGAGACAAAAACCAAACAGTTTCCCAACAGTAAGTTTACATATGAACCACTTCATATTAAATGTACTAAGACTCACATTGCAATTTTTTTGGTATTTTGATAATACCACCTTCCCTGGACAATGTCCAGCATAAAATGGACATTGATATGGTTGCTGTCTATTGCATAGCCCACCTTTAATAAAGAGGAATCTTCAGACGTAAAAGATGAAGAAAATGAGGAGAATGGGACCGGACTTGAGGACCAAGAATCAAAAGCTAAAACAAGGAAAACTAGTGAAGTAGACAAGACTGGAGAAGGTAATTTGACTTTGCCTGACATAGATCAAACTGTGAGATGTTTGTATTTGATGACTTTGACTTTTTGCTTTTAACTTTTACTTGTTGAGAGAGACAGAGGGAGGAATGAAGGAGACTGTTACTTTGAGCAAGAAAAAGAAATGGATTTACTTGTTGATAGAAAAATCCACTTCTTTACAGAAATAAGTTCTACTTGTCTATTTTAGAAAAGAAAAAAACTGATTTTTAATTATGCTTGTTGACAAAGAAATGTCATTTGAAAGTCATTGTGCCAGGGCCTTCATAAGCTGATGTATAGTTAACATTTCCATATTTTCTTCATCAAAATGTAGCAGAAGGAAGAAAAATCTCAGTTAAACATTCCTCATTAGGAAAGAAGAGACAGAATAAGTAAGTTACTCAGTTTGACATGTGACCTGTGTTAAAGTGAACCAACTTGTGACACTTGTAATATCTTAATGATAAGTAACCTGGAAATACATTGCCAAATACATAGAGCAATAATTAGAAAATTGCCATTTTGTAGTTGAAACGAAATCTAAATACCACCCAAATTGCATGTATAGTGTGGTGGTGATTATGCTATTAAGAATTCTGTTATATTGTATCAAAATTGACAAAAAAGTATTTTGTGTATAATCAATAAAACACCTTAAGTGGTAAATCAGGTTTTATTCTCTAACTTACAGAATGAATTTTTCCTCAGATTAAATTCCTAGGCATGTAAACGGTCTCATTATTGAACTAATTAGATACGTAAAGTGTTCTTTTGACATTTTCTGCATCTTAAACATATTGTTAGTTGATAATATAAAAACGATGCTAAACCTGTTATTGTTTATTTTGTAATAAAGTGTCAAAAATGGAAATAAACTCATATCATTGCAGTTTGTCAGATTCAATCATTCACTATGTTCAGAATCTCAGACTGGAGCAAATAGGACATTTAAAATTGTTCTGTTGACATTTTTCTTATGTCAGTTTTCCTTAGTTGATCATATAAAAATGACAGTAAATTGATTATTAAAAAAAACAGTATTTTAAGTAAAAAATGGTGTTGAAAATGGAAATAAACTCATTTGATCACAGTTATCTCTTGTTTACATTTTGGTATTTTCAAGGTGTGACACTGAACTTCCATGGGCTTGAAGACTTTTGCTAGTCACATGTTTTGAATATCCATGATACTTTTATTTTCTTATTAAAATTGATGGTCATTTTGCTGTTAAGCATTATGTAATATTGCATCAAAAATGAAGAAAATCCTATTGTGGGCACTGCCCCCATACTGTCCATTAATGGAAAACCATATCACTTACTCTTCTCAAACTTACAGAAAGGTAACATAGGACTAAAATACGGCTTCAGTTGAAAATCCTGTCTTATTGGTTAAAACCCTGTCTTATTGGTTAACTTTTCTGGAAATTATATAGTTTTTTGTCATAATTAAAATTTTGTGAATTATTATTTTCTGCCTTTTATCTGTACATTTGACAGCTTTGCTGCCTTGTAATTCCAGTGACCTTAACACCTTGGTTGAATGTTCCACATTTGCTGCCCAGGGGAGGATCCAGCCATTCACAATTTCCATTTCTTCAAACTGTCTTCTACTTTTGGTCAGTAAACCTGATAAGAGCATAGATGTGCTGAAAGTTCATTTAACTCTGTTCATAAATAATTTTCAATTGACTAAAGTCTGCAGAGTAATAAGTATGATGAATTGGAAAAGAATGTTTTTTTTCCCTCAGCAAAATGGAATGTGTTTTGTAGTTGGCTAAAACTTAATCGGAGTGGACCTTGCTTATGTTACCTCCTATGAATTACATTGTTTTATTAGACACCGTTCAGCACACCTTTCTTAACTTCAGTATGTTGCTAAGCTGATGCTCTACAGTTCATCATCTCATTTTACTTCACAGTACCACATGACCTTGATCTTTCACTTCATTTTTGCATATTGATGTAGGTGTTTATAATGCTCTTTTACCTTCTAATCATTTATATCATAGCATTAATAGGGTGGTGATCAATTGAAATACATCTTTAACATACAGATCTAGTGTTGTTTTTCTAAAACTTGAAAACTGGTATATACCGTGGCGCTTCCCCTTTAAGGTATTACATAGATTTAAAACCCATAAGATATTTACATGGCTCTCACAGATTTCAAATTTTTCTTTGTAGACAAGGGCAAAATAGTTAACCAAAAATTGTCTTATATTCAGGATTTCCACAGTCACTTGACCTGTAGTGAGATAGTCGGCTACCTTGGAGGGAGATGGGACCCAGTCAGCCAGCGTAAGAGCTACATAGAAATTTAAATTTACAATTACATTTAGACACTTTTATTCAGTTGAAATTTGCATAAGTATATGCTGTGTTTTAAGTACTTCTTATTATTAACTAACCAACTCACAAACTTTCAGTTTACTAGTTACAAGTTTAGTATAAAAAGAATTTATGTTTAAAGTTCTAACATTACATATTTTTTAAATATTAATGATAAAATAAAAATGATTAGGTAGTAATTAAGATTTTTGTGGACATGGTGCATAAAGCGACAATGCATATCTGTCATATATAGGCCTATCAAAAGATGCTAGCTGCATCAGATAAAGTATGGCCAGTTTACTGATAATGTAATATTGGTGAAAGAGTTGTTTTTGGATTTTTGATTTTCTCTATTATCTGGGCCCATATCAGGAAAAATCAGTATATGCCAGTAATAAGTTACTCAGTGACATTGTAAACAGCCCTATATAAGATATCTTGGATAGTGAGCGTCATTCTGATCTTCAAAGCAAACTACCCTATTTTCAGGGTTTGTGTCTTAAAGCATTCTTTAACTTTGGTCACTTAGTGCAGTATAATATTAATGTTTTAACTTCTCACTTATCCCATACATACATACATACATACATACATACATGTCTGATGTGAGAGAGAGAGAGAAACAAGACACATTCAAAGCTGAATATTGATAAATTTATTCTTTATTCGAAACGGCAGGAGATGACCCCTTTAAATATATAAGTTTTTGAATGCAGTTTGGATTTGCAATGTCTGTCAATAGATGATTACTATCAATCATGGTTATCATCTACTGACAAAAAATTAAAGTTCAGAAATAGATCCATATTAGTATACCAGTAGATCATCTGAGACAGATATCTTATAATCTTTGTAACCCATTGTTTCCTCTACTTCAGACATGAGTGTCCAGCAAGCATTCCCATGTCGCTGTAGATTGGGAGACCAGGAAAATGCCAGTAAAGTGGAAAATGAGGTATTGTTGTATTATATGACTTGAATACATTCAACATGCCAAAAGATAAACCAAATTAATCACTCGATCAGTCATAAAAGAGCTATAAACTACTTCTTGAAATTTGTTGGTCATAAATTTGACCTACTTATTATACTACCAGAGTGGCACTGGTGGTACACATGGTTTTTAGTCCAGACTGGTATCATCTGCCACCACGTCACCGTTACTTCTTCTCCTCCTGAACTACAAGAGCCCCTGTATCCATCTCTTGTATGTGGGTCACATATAATCTCAACTCCATCCATGTGAATTTTGGGCTTTATCAGTGCTAGGATCTAGATTTGGTACTCTTTACAACACGCCCTTGTCCAAAATTTGCAAAATTAAATGCTAAATATCTCCCAAAAAAAAAAAGGAATTATGGGAAAAATTTCTATAGATGGCTGACCGAAAGTCATATGTGGAGATATCAAATATGCCCTTGGATGTGACCTTTGACCTTTATTTCAAGGTTAAATGGGCCAAAATATTCTAAAATACGAATTTTTTGCGGAAAAAAATATTTCTGCCTATTTTCAGAAACTTCACAGGCCTAACCTATAATATATGGACAGGTGTTACACTCAGGGACATATTTCATCCTCGTGAGTTTGGGGTCAATCGGTGCATTTTCACGGGAGAAGTGACCATTAGATGCCGAAATTGAAAACTAATTCTGGAGTAAATGCTGGAGACCTTTTTTTTTGCATTTCGTAGAGCTTGTCAAGCGCAACACTAAGAGGTGGTGTCCGTTTTTTTGTTTTTCATACGGTTTACGAGTTTGCTATATCAAAAAGTACAACATGGTGGTGAAAATAAAAAGTGAAACTGGGGTAGCACTAGTTTTTTTTTTTTGTTTCAGCCAAACTTCTGAAAAAATTAAGCCAAATCAAAAATCTTTTAGCAAACTTATAATATTTTTAGCCAAATAAAAAAATGACAATTTAAGGAATGTAAACCAATATTTATTCCATTTTAAATCATTTTTTACAATGTTGATGCAAACAAGATTTAAAATCTAATGAATCTTTCCTTCTTTTTTAATTGTTCATGTTCTTGTACTATATACATGTAACATATCATCCAAAGGTGTAAAAAATAAATGATGCAAGTGTTCAAAATTGATGATTCTAAAATGGTTTGGACCCCATCCTCTTCCATTTGTATTAGATGTGCAGGTCCACATTATTGTCAAAAAAAGGCAGGTCATTGAAAGCCAGTGACAGTGGGACGGTATTAAACATTAACAAATATGTCAAATAAATGGGGGGGGGGGGGGGGGGGGGGGGCGGCAGTATTCATTTTTATGTATTGCAAAGTTCAGATTTCCAACTGCTAAAGCAAAGTCTCGTCGGAGGATACGTCACGCCCCCCTCCATTTTTATTTAAGATCTGCATCGATCTCAGGTATGCTATTTTGGCCCAACCCCAAAATGTCAGAAATCCACAAATAGTTGGAAAAACCTCGTCCCTGCTTTAAGATAATATGGCTCAGGTGAACCCTAAATGTTCAGCATAAGTCCTCATTGGAAGGAAAGTATCACCATTGGTGACACTGTACTTTTTTGTATTTTTATATAAGTTCATCTCTAGATTGGTATCATATTGCTTCAGTTCTGCTTAAGATTATACAATACACCCTAGATTAAAACCAAAATGGTTGAATTTCACTCCATATTGGTATCAGAATATTACAGTTCTATTCTAGATTCGTCAGAACATGGACCATCGAGATTTAATGTTGGTGGGTTGGTACCACAGCCACACCACATTCCAGGCTGACCCATCCCTCAGAGATGTGGAGAGCCAGCTCAACTATCAGCTCCAGTTGAAGGGATCAGGAAACTCCTACCAGCCTTGCCTTGGCATCATTGCTTGTAAGTTTAGGCTTGAAAATAATAGTAATTCCTAACTTTTAGTCTGCCAATATTGTTGCCTATATTTTATGTAAAAGATTTTAGGAAATACACAATTTCATTTAGATTTTTGATATAAATTGTAATCATTATTCATATGTCATGAATTTTAAATTAACTAGAATGAGATAAATGCTTGTTTTATGGATGTTGTTGAATATTTCCAGCTGCATATGATGTACACCATTCAAGAAAAGATACTATAATCAATGCATTTTGGGTGGCGCCCCCACCAGAGGTAGGTGGTGGTATAATCTGTAAAAACTGCCAGTACATTGGATATTTGTTGTATATTTTTCCTTTTCTAGTTTGTCTTTCATTGTTCTATAAAGAAAATAGTTTGAAACTTTCATCTACAACTCTGCGTGCTTTCTCACAATCAACATGGTGGAAGGAGGTGGACTTCGGCAGGGTCTCTAGGAATACCCCAGACTTCGGTGTGAAAAGTATATGTTTCTGGTGCAGAAAAGATTGCATGGAAACTTAATCTTGCCTACAAATATCAGACGAGTTGAATTTTGCTTTGGGAGTGGACCAGACACGTTAAGAATCATTTATGAAATCTGAATGTGCTTCGCATCCAGGGTCAAGTCAGGGATGATAGGGAGCCCATTCTTCAAACTGCTTTCAATAACTTCATGTTTTCAGAAAAAGGCCACATTCAGTGTTGGAAAGCCTACAGTGTAGCGTGGGGAGGGGGGGGGGGTACTTTCCAGAAGGAAGCTCTTGACAGCTATGGTAGAGCACAGGGGGCAACCAACTGCCGTGTCATTAGAGAATATATTATTCCTTCAGTTGCATCAGTGCAGTGTAAAATGCCTTAACTCCAGCTTAAAACTCACTAACCACATCATTTTTGGCCCACACTCAAGTGGGAGAAGCAAGAGTGCCCACACCTGTATGGGTGACAGGTCCTATGTCAGGTGACTTAAGCTCTGATAGTGTTCCAGTTGGTTGGGGACTGAAGCAACTTGGAGATTCTCCTGTCAAGTCATTTCTTCTCAGTGAATTTGAGAAAGGAATTACATCAGAAAAGAAGGAATATCCAACTGATGTCTTTTAAGAAATGAAGAATAAAAAACAAACAAGAAACAAGGATGTATGGCTGAGTGTTCAACAAATCATTGGTTATTTTTCATGTTTAAATATTTTAATTTATTTAATGTGGGAAGCTAGATATAGTGCACAATGATTGTACTGATGAAGAAGCAAAGGAGAATGCCCTCTAAAGGCAAACATTAAAGAAACAGATCAAATAAATGTTAGGTTTATGAAAAGACAAATATACATAATAGGCTTTTTAAGTTTTTTAAAAAATTCTGTAGCCATATAAATCATAAATATTTAGCACAGTGTCCTGCTAAATGCAGATTATAAGTAAGTAATTTTTTTCATTCAGCTTTTTAAAATATATAATGATGTATATAATGTAAATATCAGATGTATAGAATGTGCCCCTGTATATGTATTTGCGCTAGTTTTCAGTCAAGTGAATGGATATGTAGTGTCTTTTAAATTTCTCATAAATTGGTCATGGTGCCTTTTTATCCACTTTTATACAAATGAAAAGAAAAACAGTTTCATATTTTGCTTTAAAACTTGCAGGACTGATTTATATACTAATCAAGTGTCAAAATATGCATGATTAATTTAGTTTTTTTGATATAATGCAGTTTTTTTGTATATAAGTGGTTTTTCCTCAGGTTTAATTCTAAGGCATGTTAACAGTCTCAGTATTGAACTGATTAGATATATTAAAGTGTTCTTTTGACATCTTCAGCATTTAGCAATTTTGTTAGACTAGTTTTGTTCAAGGAAAACCAATAGGCATATTGTCTTGAAAATCACACAAGTGTTACAAAAATACATGCTGTGTTTGAAAATTAGCTTGATCAGACCATTTTTTAAATAAAAGTTTTATTTTATTTTATTATTTTTTTTGCTGCCTTTGGCATATTTTGAGAACTCTTCTTTATTGCATTTTGTATAGCTTATCAATCACAACACTGGTGATGGTGTCCACATTTTTGGTTTTTCATACGAATGCACTTACTCCAGCTGGTGGTACAATATCTGGAGGCAATGTCGTCTCTCTGATCCTCTAGTTGTGAAATAGTGTCAAAAATGGAAATAAACTCATGTCAGTGCAGTTTGTCACATATGATCAGAATTTCAGAATGGAGCAAATTGGACATTTAAAATTGTTCTTTTGATATTTTTCCATCTAAAAAATGTGTTAGTTGATCATATATAAATGAAAGTAATTTAGTTATAATATATTACATAATAAAGTGTTAACAATGGAAATAAACTCATTTTAGTGCAGTTATTTCTTGTTTACATCTTGGCATTTTCAGATGTGACATTTTCAGATGAGGCTGAAGACCTCTGCTTTTCTAATCATTATGCTGTAATGCATCAGAAATGAAGAAAACCCTATTTTGGGCATCGTCAACATAATGACTATTTCAGGAAAACTATGTACCTTATTATTCTCAAACTTACAGAAAAAAAAATGACTAAAATACAGGTTGAGTTAGAAACCAGTCTAACTGGAATCTTTTTCTTGAAGTCCTTCAGTTTTTTGTGGAATCCTATTTTGTCACTTATTGGCATTTTCAAGGTGTGACTTTGTTACCTGCAGTTACCTGTAGTGCATAATTAAAAATTGGTGGTGATTATTCTGTTAGGCATTATGTAATATCGCATCAAACTGATGCCAAAGTGACAATTAAAGAGAAACCATATTTAATATACTTGATTCCCAAACTTACTGAAAAGACTCTGGACCAGTCTGATTGCATTCTTGGAAGCAATGCAATTCTTCATAAAATTTTCAATTTTCACATATCACCATTTTCATTGTGGGACTTACAATTCCCAGAGGCATGAAACCAAATCATAATTTCATTTTCTGAATGTCCATGTATATGTGTGCCCTGTTGTGCATAATTAATATTTGTCATTGGCTTTGCTGTTAAGCATAATGTTTTATTGCATCAAAATTGGCCAAAAAAAAACTTTTTTGTGCATCACTATTTTCTGCTTTTTGTCTGTTCATTTGACAGCTTTGCTGCCTTGATTTTGAACATGCAATACAGATAACACAAGAAGTGGAAAATCAGTTGATCTATTATCTTTAAACTTACAGGAGTGATCAGCATTGTTAAAATAAGGTTGAGTTTGAAAACTAGCCTGATGTTATTATTTTTCTGGAACTTAGGCAGCTTTTTTTCTTGTTCTCATCATGGCAATTTTAAAGGTGCAACTTCAAACTTCATGGGCTTGGAGGCTTTAGCTAGTCACATTTTTTGAATTACAATATATTATTGCATCAAAATTGACAAAAAACATATTATGTACTACATTATTTTTTTGTTTTTTGTCTGCACATTTGAGATTTTTTTTTTTGCATTAACTTGTTATTTTTATTTTTCAGAACAAAATGGATGACTATGGCATGCCGATGTCCATGAATTATAGCATCTCACAGGACACTTACATCACACAAGATATTGTTAATGAATTGGTGAGATCAAGTTTGTTAACTAAGACACTTTATATTTTCATTAGATTTTCATTATATCTTTTCTTTATATTTTCATTACATTAATGGAATGAAATGGATTAATATTTATGTACAGCCACATCAGCAATACTCTCATCTTTGAAAAGACTTCTCTGTAGAATAAGTCCTTGATTTTGTGTAGTAAAAATCAACCAACTAGTTCACATGACTTTGCACTGTTGTATGATCCCTTTTCCTAATCCATGGGCTTTGTTTGTGGAAGAGAAGGGTGGTTTCGGCGTGTGTTACTTTTCTTCATCTGAGATTTGCGCCAATTTTGACAGAAATCCAATGCATTGTGAAAAAGATTATGGATGATTGAAAGGTAGAAACCAGCCATATCAAATATAACAAGGCAGCAAAGCTGTCAAATGTACAGACAAAAAACAGGAAATAACTATGCACAAAATAGGCTACTGTCAATTCTGATGCAAAAGTACATTATGTTAAACTGCAAATTCAACATCAAATTTTAATTATGCTCAACANAAAAATGTGCAATTTTCCTTACTTGTTATTCTTTTGAACTGGTTTATGGCCACATTAGTGTTTTTCCACTGATTAACTCTTGTCTTTATCAACAATTATTTGTTCATTCTATCAAGGATTTGCTTACTAATTACACCAATGTTGCTTTTAGCATGGAACATGGATGGGGAAATTTTCTTTGTGATCTGTGACAGTAATAAAGCTTTGTTCTCACCTTTGATCACAACGCAATTGTCTAATTCTAGCTATAGCTTACTTGCAATGAATTGGCTTCATTGTTTATCTTTTTATTTCATCAGGTGCTCTACTGTATTTAGCAGTGGTGTTTTTTTGAAGCATTTTCTCATATTCGCATATGTCCATATTGTAATACGGTAATATGCCATGAATTTCTTACAGAAGAAATTAATTAAATAAGGAAAAGATCATTTTGGTTGAAATTCATGAAATAGGAGGCATCAGAAATTCCAAATGTTCAAATTTCATGAAATTCTGTCATTTTTGAACAGAATTTGTCTGTTTTGTAGCCAGGCCATTTGTCATCTTTTCCGGATGATCTCCGTATCAATTACCATATTGTATAAAGAATGTGTATCGGTAATTGCAACTCAAGGGATATACATACTTTTAACCAATCACTACGTTTATGTCCCAAGGTGCTACATAACCATCGGTACCGTTGGCTAGGTACGCAAAACAGCGTCGTAATCAGTAGTCTCTTTTTTCAAAGGCGATTCTGGCAGCCAGAAAGTAGTGTCATATTTCGAAAACAATCCTTGCACTTAGAATAAGAGGGGTAGGACAAGAGGCGGCTACCAATTAGTGTCTACCCTGACCAGATAACTTTCACCATTGAAGCCAGGTCAGTGTTACGTTTCTCCTCTCCGTGCATTGAAGCCGAGACGACAGTTGATCGGTGTCTGTGGCGCACAGGTAGGCTTCATTGGTGATTAGCGTCCACTGTGACCATGTTTGTCGCCTTCACCGTTGAAGTCGGGCTGAGATTTATGCACGTGTGCGGCCTCTCCTCGCTGTACACCGGTCAGTGTTAACGATCTGAGCGAGAAGAGAAGGCAATTAATTGCAGTTCTTAATTGATTCTCCTGTTATCTTGATGAATGGTGTTGACAATGTTGTTTTGCATCCAATCCAACTGTATCGATCGTTATTTTGCATTTACGGCCACACACGTACATGGTACTCAAGTGAAGGTACACTAGAGCTACATTGCCGACTTTGATTTTTATGAGCCCGAAAACAGCCCGATGGCCAATTTTTAAGCTGTAGGAAATTTACAAAAATCAAGATTGTGCAAAAAGCTTACTGGTAGAATTTCATGATCCATAAAAAACCTCCAGCCGGCTGATTTTAGGTTTGTTCAAAGTTTAGGCAGTCAGACTGTCACCTTTGTCTTGGCATTTGTCACTGATTAGTGCCTAACCCGGTGTAAAAGGTGTATTAGTGTGATCATATGTGTGGAATTTCATGTCAGATGGACATATAAAGATCTAAAAATTCATAACAATATTAAAAAAAAGATACATCTTTGCACAGCAGTCGTAGATTGGTACGATTCAGTTGTTAGTTACGAACTACTTCCTGGTTTTCACAAGGTCCTTCAAAAACTTTAAAACATCATTATAATTGCAGCACATACCATAAAAAACCCAAAAATACTTAGATATGGACATATCAAATTATATAAATGTCAAAATTCCACATGACAACGATTATAGCCTCCCGGGAATTCCTTTCCCTTTACACTCTTTGTCGCACTGGCAGTTGATGCAGCATGTATTTCAAAACAAGTTGTCTGCAAATTAAGCACGATTTTGCACCTTCTAGTTCTGTGTCTTGTTTTCATATCATGTGCCTATTATTTCTACAAGTATTTTCTTCCCAAAATGCGTAAAGAAGAAATGTTATCTTACCATGTTGTTTGAAAAACTGCTTTTTTCACCAAGTCCATGCCTTCTCGTTCACCTCCAGTTAAAAATGACCATTCGGCTTCGCATCTTACACCACTCAACGTCACACTTCCGGCACAATTCTGACCAATGCTGATCTCCTCCGGTACTCCTTATTAGGCTATTCTTGATCCCTCTCCTCTATCTGGAGGTATGTTCCTTCCCAAAAAGAATTCTCAACTTTTCGGGTAAGGTAATATAACTTAATTAAGATGCACTAAAAAATAGATAATTATTTACCACCAGAAAGTGACTTAGGAAGTAGTATTAAATATCCTACAATATATGAGGGACAAGGATAAAAGCCGATAAGGATAAAAGCCCGAAGGTTGGAGTTTTGAAAATTACATTATACCCAGGAGTCTGGGAGATGTAATTTTGAAAAAATCGTTGGATTTACACAATTTAAAATATTAATTGAGTTTTAAGAGACGAAATTTTCAAGTTTTTACCATAAGAGTTTTTACATGTACATCATCTTGACATTTTGTTTATTTTTTCTTTATAAGATTCCAGCTACCATAGGTTGAGCACTTTCTTTCAAGTGAATTGAACATATATATATATATATATATATTTGATTTCCTTGATGTATTATTTACACACTTATGAATGACCTAGCACCACGTCTGCATGTACATATTGGGTGCATTCTGAACATGTTGATCTGCAGACTAACTGATCCATGAAAACAATGCTGCAAAATACCCTAATCAACTCCTATCTTGTATGCATCATCTTTCCAGAGGCACAGCAATTAAATCTTAGCTTCACTTTGATCAGGTGTAGGGAATAAGGCAAACATCAGCATATAAATGAATTGCACCCTGATTGAAGTGGAACTGAGATTTAATAGCTGTGCCCCTGCAGGGATGGCGCACGTGGGAGGCAGGAAGTCCTCTAGGGAATTATGCGCATTTCTGATAATTGGATTAACCATATTTGATCAGCGGACCACTTTGTCCCTAGGTCAACTTGTTCTGAAAGTGCCTTTTGTCATTTTGCACCAAATGGATGGACTTGACTCATATTGTTCCTTTTTGCATCTTAGAAAATGTTGGTGGACTATTACCAAGATAAACCAGATATGATCAACTTCAGGGAGTTCTGGCTGCATCAAACGACATATGCAGACAAACTGAAAGTAAGAATTAACAGATTTTCATTTCCACTGCAGCCTGTAAAATATGAATGGGTCTTTTTCACCATTATTATCCTTTGAATATTGTATAGTAGGAAGTTTTTATTTCTGTTTGAAGAATGATGAAGTACATGAATATTTTGATTATTTGTTAAAATTATCCAAGTTCATGGCATGTAGTTTAATGTTTACATTTTTATGCTGTTGCTAAGGTGTTTGATTATAAAGAAAGAATGTTTTTGTTTTAGTTAGGTGTTTAATTATAAAGAATGTTTTTCTTGTTTTAGTTATCCATGGCTAGGAAGTTTCCAAAAGACCAATCAGATGGAAGATTCCTTGAGTACATTGACAATCTTCTTCTCAGATAACTTGCATTATCAGACTACAATAATCTCATGCACATAACCAGTGAGATGTGACTACTGATATTTTTATATTTAAGAAGAGATATCTCTTGTCACTATTTCAGCCTCTATGAACTTTCCTTGTTAGCACCATAAAAAGTAAACATTTTTCTCAAATTCATAAAAATGTTAAGAATTTAAACAACTTTGTCTGAAAACCAGCCTGTTTTAAGGACTCTAGGGAACAATTTTTGAATTTGTTACACACACCTGAAAGTATGTCCTACCCTTGTGAATAAACAAAAAACCAAAAATGATGTGGTTGTACACCTTTGTTTACATGAAAAAAATTGTATAAAAACAACTGGAACTCCTCTTCATAAGCACCCCCATTTTAAGCTCAAGTCAATCACATAATACAGTGTACCTCAGCAGTGTGTAATGTTAATCTGCCCTTATGCCTACTGCTAAAGTAGGTGAGGAAATAAATAAGGGAGCAAAACATCTCTTGGCAAAAGGATTTTTTATTCGGATTTCCATTGCCAATCAAAAAAGGGTGAGGAAGTGTCTCGGTAGAGATTGTCCAGGAAATTGAATAATGTGCATTCTCCCATCGATTGTTCTTTTGATGAGATATTACAAGAGGAATATGCCATAAACAATATTGATTTCACACCTGCAGGATGATGGGGGCTTACCTTGTTATAATTATTTCAGTTGATAAAGTGTCTTGTTCTTTAATTGACAGTCGATGCAGCATATATTTCAAAACAAACTATCTGGAGGCGGGACAGACGCTTAAGCCGGCTAAGCTGACAGTAATCTAGTGAGACTCCCCACAGGGATAGATCGATCTAAAATCTATGGAAATGGGGTCTTAGTCTTATATATATATATATATATATATATATATATATATATATATATGCGTCCTTTGTGCAACCATAAAATGGCCAGGATGCTGTTGGATGCTCAAAGAACACACGGTGATCGCTAAGATCACACAAAGAACATTCAGCCATCACCGAGGAAGCCATGGTTGTGTGAAGTTTTGAGCATGTTCAAAACAGTAGCAGAGAGAATGCAATGGAGAATGTATGCTGCAAGGTCACTCAAGGGACACAGAGAGGATGCACAATCATCACCTCGGTTGCAGAAAGGAGGCACAAGCATTGCTTTGGTTTCACAATGAATGCTCAGTGATCAGCCAGTTGTAACAATAGTAATAATAATAATAATAAACTTTAAAGAGGGAAAAACATGTTAAGTACACACACTCATCTTACACATGGCCCTCTATAAATAAAAATAAAATAATAAAATAAGAATAAAATATTGTGTTTATGAATAAAAGATGAATGAATTATGAAATTAAAATAATAATGAAGTAAAAATGAAATGAGTTAGAATAACAATAGTGATAAGAATAAAGCAAAAGGCGTTACGTTAATAAAAATCTTAAATAGCTTAATTAAATGACTTAATAATCATATACGTAAAATTTACTTATGGTTTCTTGAAAACAATTTTTCAAAAGTATCCAAGTCTTTAGAGTTTTTTTATTTCAGAGCTAAAGCAGTTCCATATTTTGATCAAAGACCATATTGGGCCTTTTGTTAGTATGCCTTTATGTCTGCCAACTGATAAATAGACATTTTCCTTATTGCTTGATTGGGTGGTTCTGCCTGTAGTGTCTATGGTTGTAATTACCACTTGGTCCTAGATGTATTTTGGAGAGAGTCGTTGTAAAGATTTAAAATCTAATGTGGCTTTCTTATTAATAAATTCTATTCGTTCATAATTTGTTTGCCATTTAAGTTTCTTGAAAAGTTCAATTGACGGATATTTCTTGGCCTCATTTTCTGGGACATCAAGAATGATTGTTGTACCACATTTTTGAAGTTTGTATGTTTTCTAGTTTTGCACAGCTGCTCCATATAATGGAGCAGCAATCCAGATGTGGTAGTATATATGCCCTATGAAATAGTTTTCTTGTTTCCAATGTTAATTGTTTTAGTTTGGATAGAAGGAACAGTTTACTGTAAATTCTTTTTTCAAGTTTATACACAGTCATTCCAGCTAAGATTTTCATTAATATATACACCTAAAAGTTTCTTTGATTGTACATTATCTAAAATGTCCCCATTGAACACAGCTTTTAATTACTGTTCAGTTTTTGGTATTTTTGCATGTTTTTTTTTTTTTTTCTAGTTGTTATAAGCATTGCTTTTTTTCTTTTTGTATTATTTTGTATTTGATGTTCAGTTCTGGTACAGATTTATCAGTGATGGTAATTGTAGAGTCATCAGGATACATATTAATTTCTCCATTATCAATATTGCTTTTTTTCTTTTTGTATTTGGCACCATATGATTTTCCCTGCACCACACTGAAATGTGTTCCATGCTGCTATTTAATTTGATATTCAGTTCTGGTACAGATTTATCAGTGATGGTAATTGTAGAGTCATCAGGATACATATTAATTTCTCCATTATCAATACGAAGTGGCAGGTCATTAAATGATTAATGAAAATGATAAAAAATAAAGGCCCTAAGTTGGAGCCTTAGGAGACTCCACAAGTGATTGGTACAGGTTCAGATATTTCATTTTTAAATATTGTCTGCTTGTGAGATATGATGTAAACCCTGAGAGTGCTTGCTCATCACATTTGTGCACCTGCAGCTTTTTAAGTAGGACTTGATAGTCTACTAAGTCAAATGCTTTCCTCAGGTCTAAAAGGATGACACCATTCATATGATTTTTGTCAATAGTAGTTGCCTGTTTGGTTGTTATATATGTAAAGGCCGTTTCACATGAAAAGGACTTTCGGAAGCCAGACTGAGCAGAGTGAGATGTCAGGTATTTATAGAAGGCATCATGCACATGACGTTCAATCAGTTTGGACAGTGCAGGTAGGATTGAGATTGGTCTGTAGTTTCCACAGTCTAGCTTGTCTTCATCTTTGTAGATTGGTGTAACTCTGTAGCATTTTTCCTAGTATTTGGGAATGTTCCAGCCCGTATAGATACGTTTATAATGTAAATTATTGACATGCTCTACAAAATGCAAGAAATAAATGGTCTCTAGCATTTCAATTCCAAAATAAGACAGAGTTTTTAGTTTTGGCATCTTACGGCTGCTTCTCCCGTGAAAATACACCGATTGACCCCAAGCTCCCAAAGATGAAAGGAGTCCCTAATGGTAACCCCTCAAATAATATGAGAGCTTAGGTCTGTGTAGTTTCTGAAAATTGGCACAAAGAAATTTTTTTTTGCAGAAAATTCCCATTTTTAGAAAATTTTGGCCCGTTTGACCTTGAATTAAAGGTCAAATCCAAGGGCATATTTGAAATCTCCACACGACTTTTAGTCAGACTTTTGTAATAATTTTCCCACAATTCCTTTGGTTTGAAAGACATTTAGCATTGAATTGTCAAAAATGTTGACAAGGGTGCATTTCAACGTGTGTCATACCCAGGCCAATGCACCAACTAAGACAAACAAAACAAAACAAAAAAAAAAAAAGGGGTTCAAGTTGAGATTATATGTGACCTAAATCCAACAGATGGGCACACAGGTCCTTGTGGTCGAGGAGGAGAAACGGTAACGGTGGCTTGTATCCTGTGCCAGAACTATAGCCAGCAGAACCAATGGAGCCGCATGAGACAGGCGGGACTAAAACCACGAGTACCGCCAGCGTTCAAACTGGTGGTACTAACTATACCAACTCTGATTATAAGTTCAAAACTGATCTACATAAATTACAGTGAGTAATATGAATATTGTGATGGACTTCCACTTAAATGGAATCATCTTGCCTCAAACATTCAGTCAAACTTGGAGTGACTTTTTATTCAGCCAGGCGAGGATGGCAACCAAGCAGAGGACCATTGTGTAAGTAGTAAAGGGTGGTTTCCTGTCAAGTAAGTCCTAATTGACGGGGAGCGGTTCAGAATCTCAGTTAATTTCAAAGCAAGGAAAGACTTGGTTGTTCAAGTGCACCACACACTTTTAGACCAAATCAGGCACACAAGTGTGAGCTGGTGGCCGAGACTTGTCAAGGGAAAACCATATGTGCTAGCATCCCAAGCGCTCATGCTGGTAGTACAATATTACAAGGCATACTGTAAAGAAAAAATAATTAATTCATAACTTTTTTATTTGAATATCATGTTTGTGAACACATGTACAAATAAAAATGTGTATTTGAATTCCAGTAGTTTTTCATATACATAGTCACAAATGGAAGAATAAGGGCCGGTAAATGCAACTTCAGACAATGTTACCTTACACATTTTGCAGAAATCTTTCAATTTTTTTATGAACATTAAAATGTACAAAGTTGCCCAGCTGAAAGAGAGGTGTAGAATGGTAAGAAGACATACTGTTTGATAACCTTGCTCAAAGAGTGAATACTATACTATAAGTTGTCAAAACACAACTACAGTTGTACCATGCATCAAGATATAATATGCAATGTAAAAAACGCTCATTTCCTACAACCTTTCAGAGATATTTAAAAATGTGCATTTTATTACATCTCAAAAGACAGAGATATGCTGACTGTGACTACTAAATGGCATTTTTCATAAGTATCATATCTTTTGCTTCTCATACTTTCCACAAAATTGAAATGAGGGTTCTAATTTTGAAAACAGCACAATATTGGAATATATTGTAACAGACAATAGTTTTGCATAATACTTCTTAAAAATAATATATCCTGCATGGTATAGTTTTAAAGATGCCTTAAAACCAATCTCAATTTAATGCATAATTTCATAAGTCATTATCTACATGAATATTTTGGAAAAATAAACTAAACAGGCACCTAAATACATATATTTACTTCTGAGGTTTAACATCCAGAATAACCACACTTCTATGCATATTATAGTGATGATGACAATATGAACATAAATGTTATGTACATCATACTTGTGGTAGTTTACTCACATGAAAAGTCAGCACCTTTAAAATTGAGATTATTATTACAGTAAACAAATGTCTCGATCAGCAGCACACTTGTTAATTTTGAATTCTATTCACCAATGTTACTGCAAACCACTAGATCTTGATGTTTTAATTGGCAAAATTATTAAGAAAACTGAATATGAACCAGAAATACAGCTTGATATATTTCACAATTTTGAGAACAGTTCATTTAAGTATAACTGCAGTAAAACATATGCCAATTTCAATTCCGCTAAAAATTCAACATAATTTCTACTCAGATTTATCACAGCTTAAAGGCATTAAAGTTCATCGTGTTTTGGTCCACTAAATTCCTCAAATGATATAACACCATCCCTGTCCTTGTCTTCATGTTTAAAGATGTCTGCCACCATGTCATTATGCTCCTTCTCTCCTGGCATCTCACTACCGGTCTCTGCCATTTGTTTCTTGATGAAATCAGAAACCTGAAGTACATAATTAATTTTAAAGATTGACAAGTATGTTTGTTAAATTATAAACAATAAAAAACAGTAAAAAAAATGCCTACTAAAAATTGAAAAACGGGCAATATCATATTTATATGCATTCAACAGAACTGATCAAAGAATTCCAAGTCAGTAAATGAAAAAACGTATACACTAGAACAGTAAAGAAAAAGCATGCAACAAGCTTAAGGCTGTATACAATATCAATTTTATTTTGGTTGCTTATATTTATCTTAGTTGCAATTTTTCGCAGTAACAAGCAATACCTTGAAACTTGGTCAGAACTGAAATTTTAAAACAACTTTCTATTGAATTTCAAATGAAAGTATGGGCCATAATGCTTGCTGAAATCAGACTGTTTTAAGAGGTCAAGAATGCATCATTTTGACACATAAGGATATCTATGTTTTAGTATAGGATATAATGTGAATTTGCTCATCAGTTAGTATTGGAAGTTAACTTTGTTCTTGAAAGTCAGATGTAAAGAACACAAAAAAATTGATAACTTAATAAAATGTTATTAATCCCTAAAGGCAATTTTTGGAACTCGAAGCTTTTAGTTCTACAAATTACCTCTTCAAGTATAACAAGTAAAACAGTCTTCTTTTTATGGAATTTTGTTTTCAATTTAACAATATTACCTAAACCTGCATTTCAAGATTTCAGAGAAAGTCTGTAAACTCGTACACTATATATCTCATTCGTTACATTAAATTTTAAAAAAATTTATACCTTCTGTATATCCCAAAGTTTAAAGCACTCATACACAGACATTGACAAGCTTGTTAAGAGAGTTGCATCTTCAGATATATTTTAAGTCTAAAATCCATTTAAAATGTTCAGTAGACTTTACATAAAATATCATAAATAATACTACATAAAATATCATAAATAAAATATAGGTAAAACAGCCATTATTCCATACAATTAAATGCAATTAATACAAGATTTATAAAACCAATTAAGAGTTAATCAAAATATTTCCTAAAAAGGTATGTTTTGAGTTCTTTTTTAAAATGTTTGGTAGACTGAATTGCTCGGATTTCCAGCGGTAATAGATTCCATTCCTTTGGACCTGCAGCTTTAAAAGATATATCACCGTAGGTTTTTAATCGCATTTTTACTGGGTTGAGTAGCAATTGGTCTACAGACCGCAGATTTCGCATTGGAACATAGTGACTAACTAATTCATTGATGTAGATTGGTGCCAATCCATAAAAAGCATCGTGAGTAAAAACTAAAAATTTGAATAAAATTCTGGCTTGTAGAGGTAGCCAGTGTAAACTTTTTAAAACTGGGGAGATGTGTATGCTTGTGGATGTCCGAGTTAATAATCTGGCCGAAATATTTTGAATGCGCTGCAGTCTGGCAATTTGTTTCTTTGGACAACCATATAAAATGGAGTTGCAGTAATCTAATCGAGATGTAACTAAACAATTTATGACTGTGGCTGCAGCAGAGTCAGACAACTGATTGCGAATTGCACTTATGTTCCTTATGTTAAAAACCGCTGACCTGCATACACTGGCAATATGTTTGTTCATGCAAAGCGATGCATCTAAAAATACACCAAGATTTTTTGCATAGGTTGTTGGCTTAATAATGCTTTATTCAATTTTGAGCTGTCACATATATGCTCTGTCATCCGATAGCATACACACTGTGACCAACATGCTGACATTACACATCAGACATTTAAAATTTATGGCAGACATGTTCAGCTGCCCGATGGATTTTTGGGAACACTGATAATAAAATAAAGGTATTATGGGTATTCAGAAAATGTGACTATCAAAGGTCTTCAAGCCCACAGAAGTTCAAAGTCACACCTTGAAAATGCCAATATGTGAAAAATGAAAATTTCACAAAAACCTGTATAACTTCCAGAAAAATCAACCAATCAGACTTGTTTTCCAGCTAAAGCTGTATTTAATTCCTATGTTACTTTCCTGTAAGTTTGAAAAGAGTAAGGCTGCATTCCCAGAGCTTTTAGATCGATCTATGCCCGTGGGGAGTCTCACTAGATTACTGTCAGATAATCCGGCTTAAATGTCCGTCCCGCCTACTACAAGCTGTAAGAGGGTAATTAACTTTCGTATCCACTCGGCTGACAGCTATTTAGCGTGAACCCCCAGGGAGTTAGGTCGATCTAAAGTAGATCAATCTATTCTCTGGAAATGGGGTCTTAGTGACATGGTTTTCCTTTAATGGTAACCATAGTGGCAGTGCCCAAAATAAGGTTTTCTTCAATTTTTATGCAATATTACATAATGCTTAACAGCATAATCACCACCAATCTTTAATAATGCACTGCAGGTAACATGGATATTTTTAAAAATGTGACTAGCAAAAGTCTTAAGGCTCATGAAATTTCTAAGTCGCCTTGAAAATGCCAATTTGTACACAAGAGAGAACTGTACTGAAATGTATTTCTTTCCGTTTTCAATGTTTTTTTTTTTACATAAAACAATTTGATCAATTTACTGAATTTTTGTATAGTCAAGTAAAAAAATTATTCAGATGGGAAAAATATTAACAGAACAATTCTAAATGTCCAATTTGAACCATGATGAGATTCTGAACATAGTGAATGATTGAATCTGACAAAATGCAATGATATGAGTTTATTTCCACTTTTGACATGGTTTTCCACTCATCGTGTTATCGGTGTGAAAGTGCAAGGCAACGACAGTGACGACAAACGCAGGTAACGGCTAAATGTACAGTCATATCTGTGTCTGTACATAAAAATTAAACCTCTTTTATACTTATATGAAATATATCTTTGTTCAATACATTTATTTCTGACTTTACCTCATCAGGGGAAAGCTTGTTATCTTTGTTTTCATCAATATCCTTGAAGATGTTCTGTGGTTTTGGTCCGTCCTCAATACCAACACACTCTACATCAAACATTAAAGTGGCTCCTCCTGGAATTTTGTCACCTGGGGGAAAAGAATGAAACTGAAAATATTTATTACGATTCTTTGATACTGGGTTTGGTTGTGCCAAAAAAAAAAAAAAAAAATCACTTGTAGGTAATAACCTTACTTGTGATTTAAGTTACTTTGTTATACTGTTCTTCTTTTATACAGAAAAAAACTGTAAGCATCCTTAGTGAAAAGTAAGCATAAACAGATTGTTGTTTTGGTAACAGGCCTAACTTGGCTATCTGCCGACATTCTGAGACCATGACAACAAATTGATTGATGGCCTATATTGTTATTCATGCTACAGGAGGGTAAATCGACTTGGGTCTTTATTAATGTTCAGACTAATGATAAGTTATTAAGAATATCTAACCAAGAATATCACAATAGAAGAGACCTCTTTTTTTCAGTGATCAAACTGCCATTTAATCAGGCCTACCCAACTACCAGACTCGGCACTTAACCGGTATATTGGACCACACTACCAGTTTTCAAGGTGTGTGTCATTTCGGAGTATCAGTCAGAACACCTACAGGATGAGCCGGCGGTCACCCTACAAAAATTGTTCTGGGGTATGATACTCCGAAATGCGATCTGACACACACCTTGAAAACGGGTAGTGTGGTCCGATATAAGGGTTAATTCAGGATCCTTATGTGCTGAGTCTGGTAGTTGGGTAGGCCTGTTAATGAAAAAGTCGGAAAGAATGACAGGGAGCACCTAGGAAGCCCCCCAGAAGCTTTTAGGGTTTTATATACATGTGCAAAATTGGTCATTGTAGAACCTCTTATAGATATCTCCAAAAGTGAAATATACATCTGATTTATCAAAGTTTAGGTCTCAGCCAAGGCATTATTTAGAAAATAATAAGGCATCATTAGAAAATAACTAAGTTTTGTGCTGCTACTCTTGTTACACACTACGGTAATGTGCCAAGCATTTTGACGGGCCCAGTCAATCCGACCAAAAAAATTATATTATAAAATTAATTTTTCTGGGCTCAAACATTTAGTCCATATGTCAAAATCATGCGACAGAATTTTTTTCTTGTTCCGATTGTTCGACCACATCGTCGGCAAGACTCGGTAAGTTTTCAAGCCAGTGAAATAGATGCTACATGCCTCGGCCCTTTGTCAATTGTTGTCCTTTCAATAGCTCTCGTCAATGAGGAAGAAACAATTAATTGAAGATCTAATCTGGAAGCATGGCGTACCTGTCATTTCCTTTGTCCCCAATGACAATAATAGTGCTTATAGACATACAATTTGTGCTAATTAAGCAGACTTGCCCTTGCTGACTGATTCATCACGCCCGTAACTGGAGGGGGGGCAAAAAAAGGTCTATTCTGGATAAAACCAAATATAGACAGTTGGTAGAATATGTCGTAAACACCTTCATATAGACCATATATAGCGTTTGCTAGCAATAAAAAGTTTGGGAAGAATAAGCAATTTATTTTCAAGTTCGATTGAAATATATATGCAGATGGGGAAACGTTCTTGAAGTCAACACCGCAAGATCTTACATTTACTACAATCGACCGAAAGTTCAGTGGGATCGACTGCCCAGACTTCTTGGCGCCATATACCACGCGCTGTCAAAATCTGACGAACACATGTAACTGTTCACCTACATGGATAACTGATTTGTCAACAATAAAAATGACGTCTTCCTTAGTTCCATGGGAGCTTCATAGAGAGTTCCACTGGGTATTTACGTTATCTGTGAGTCACTTTTCATTTCCCCAGATGCATGAAATGTTGATAATATTTAGCGTAATCCACGAAGAACTCCATTCCTGTGACCCCCCTCCCCAAAAATGGGACCGTCTTCATTAACATGTGGTTTGCGCTATGCTGGAGCAGACCAGATAAGACCAGTCTCTCTTTTCTGCATGTGCTCAATTCTCACGTCAAATTATAAATGCACCTGTTTTTTGAAAATTATGGCAATTAAATGCTTTTTTTTACGTTCGGGTTGTATCAGTGGGGTTTTCAATATGCACTGTGGTTTGTGCACAGCGAGAGTATAAAAGTAAAAAAATCAGAAGAGTGCCAGCAAGATACTGTATGTCTATCGGCACAGGTAGGCTACGTATTTTGCCTTTTCTCAATATGTTTTAATATGACATGCTTTTAAAATAAAATACTTAAAAGTAATTTGAAGTTACACTGAATTCCGTTCGAGTACCAGTTGGTATTCTTTGATACCGGTGATTGAATTTTCTTCAGAAGTACGTACGTCTATGCCTCGACGCTGAGCAAGTCTTGCGGGTTGAAAACAACTGATCTCAGACTTGGTTGATTTCAGTTTTCATATTAAAATTCAAATAGGGCGTACGTAGATCATATAACTAGTTTAAGTCCACTAAATCTACCAGTTTCAAATATAAGTGACCGGCCTTTGTTTACAACACCTGTTTCCGGGGAAATACTCGTCCCACTTGTGAAGCACATCATGAAAATGATATATAATTAGAAAATTATAATTGTCGTCTTTTTAAATGATAAGTAATGTTAGCACATACTGTACACAGCAAAATAAGATTTCAAAAGGAGGATTAAACGTGCCTGAAACACGTGTTAGGCGAAAATTGCGGCTTATCTTGCGTAACACTTAAGGTAAAATGCAATACTTCCGGAAAGATGGATGTTTTGGCAGATGCCCCTAACGATTCGACGATATCAAAGGTTTCCATTTGCTGTATTTTAATCAATTCGACCAAACTGACATTTCCATGAAATTAATTAATTAATCTTGGTCGAATTGTTTGGCATATTACCGTAGGCTTACATACCAAGGCCTCCACACAATAAAATAGTTTTTTTTTCCATTCAAATGACATACATATGGCAGAAAAAAGGAAACTATGTGAAATTATTTTAATTACTAGAGAATCAGAGAGGCAATACTGCCTGCGAGTATTGTACCACCAGCTGGACTATCGCATTTGTATGGAAAAGCAAAAAAAAAACAAAANTTTTGACACTTTATTACACAATACACGATAACAAGTTTACCATCATTTTTACATAATCAACTGACAATGTTGTAAAGATGCAGGAAATGTCAAACAAACACTTTTACATATCTAATTAGTTAAATAATAAGGCTATTAACATGCCTAAGAAATGAATCTGAGGAAATGTGAAAAAACAGCATTACTTCTAAAATAATGGCCTGATTATGCTGATTTTCGAACTCAACCTGCGTTTTAGTAAGATTGATTACTCCTGTGAGTTTCATGACAACAGGCCCAACGGTTTTCCTTAAAATGTGTTTACAGGGTTGCATATATGCTGAAAAGTGAAAAAACAGCATAACTTCTACTATAATGGCCCGATCATGCTGATTTTCCAACTTGACCTGCGTTTTATGAATATTCATCAGCTCTGTTAATATAAAAGCAAAAAATAAAACTGTGTTCCACTTATCATGTTTACAAGGAAAGTGCACGGCATCGGCATCGGCATCGCCAGACGCAGGTGATGGCAATATGTACAGACACATCTGTGTCTGTACATAAAAAGGAACCACCTCCAGTGTTGTGTTTGACAAGCTATACAAAATGTAGTAAACAAAAGTTCTCAATATTTTGTTGAAAATTACCATTTAAAACAAAATCATGGGGAAAAGTTAAAGTTTAAATCCAAATTTGTGAAGTGTGGTTCATGGCGAAGTAAGTCAGTAAGTCAAAGGTCAATTTCAAGGTCACAGATCACCAGTATATGACTTCCTCTTCAAGTTCAATAGTAACAATGGGAGCATTCACATCAAGAAGACCCGAGGTCTAGTAAGGCCGCTACCTAAATATGGCGGACTTACATGAAAGAAAGACTGCTTAATCCATTTATGGTCTCTCCACCTCTTACACACCTCCCTGCACGTCGTCCATGCAGGGGCACACTAGATAAATCTCGGCTCAATTCAACTGGTCGAGGGATGACGTGTGAGGAGACGTGTGAGGAGACGTGTGAGAGGCGGAGAGAGCATTACAGGATTAAGCGGTTTCCCTTTCATGTAGGTCCTCATATTTAGGTCGCAGCCTTATTTGACTGGCTCTTCTTGATGTAAATGCTCCCAATGGGGGTATCTCTGCCAGTTTCGGACATATAAGAGATAAAAAGTTGCAAAGTTCAGTTCATGATGAAAAAAAGGTCAAAGGTCAATTTCAAGTTCACAGTTAGATTGCCAGTATATGACTTCCTATTAGAGTTCAGTAGTAACTACAGACCTATCTCTGCCAGTTTTGGAGATGTAAGGGATGGAAAATTTGCAAAATTTAGTTCATGGTGAAAATTAGGTCAAAGGTCAATTTCAGGGTCACAGTTAGATTGCCAAGTATATGACTTCCTATTCAAGTTCTATAGTAACTATGGACCTATCTCNGCAGGGGCACACTAGATAAATCTCGGCTCAATTCAACTGGTCGAGGGATGACGTGTGAGGAGACGTGTGAGGAGACGTGTGAGAGGCGGAGAGAGCATTACAGGATTAAGCGGTTTCCCTTTCATGTAGGTCCTCATATTTAGGTCGCAGCCTTATTTGACTGGCTCTTCTTGATGTAAATGCTCCCAATGGGGGTATCTCTGCCAGTTTCGGACATATAAGAGATAAAAAGTTGCAAAGTTCAGTTCATGATGAAAAAAAGGTCAAAGGTCAATTTCAAGTTCACAGTTAGATTGCCAGTATATGACTTCCTATTAGAGTTCAGTAGTAACTACAGACCTATCTCTGCCAGTTTTGGAGATGTAAGGGATGGAAAATTTGCAAAATTTAGTTCATGGTGAAAATTAGGTCAAAGGTCAATTTCAGGGTCACAGTTAGATTGCCAATATATGACTTCCTATTCAAGTTCAATAGTAACTATGGGCATATCTTTGCCAGTTTTGGAGATATAAAGATCAGAAAACATACAAATTGCAGTTCATAATGAAAAGTAGGTCAAAGGTCATTTTGGACATATCTCTGCCAGTTTTCGAGATATAAAGGATAAAAAATTTGCAAAATTTAGTTCATGGTGAAAATTAGGGCAATGTCAATTTCAGGGTCACAGTTAGATTACCAGTATATGACTTCCTATTCAAGTTCAATAGTAACTATGGGCGTATCTCTGCTAATTTTGGAGTACGGAATTCACATTTTATTTTCCCCACTAAATATTCCGACGTTGTACTTTTTTATATAGCGCAACGCCTTAACTGTATCGAATACAAAAAATTGGACACCACCTCCAGTATTGCACTTGACAAGTTCTACAAAATGCAAAACACAAAAGGTCTCTAGCATTTACGGTTGCAGAATTAATTTTTCCCCATAATTCCTTTGGTTTGGAAGATATTTAGCAATGAATTTTCAAAAATTTTGACAAGCGTCACGCCTAGGCCAATGCACGGACTGAGACAAAAATACCAGGGGGTTCAAGTTGAGATTATATGTGACCTAAATCCACGAGGTGGGGACACAGGTCCTTGCGGTCTAGGAGGAGAAGTGGTAACAGTGACTTGTATCCCACGACACCCAGTGGAGCCAACAGAGCTGTACGAGACGGGTCGGGACTAAAACCATGACTACCACCAGCCTGGTACTAATAATGATGCATGGACGAAAAAGGATGCAGCTATATCTCAGAATCTTCTGGCCCTATTGTGACTAAGTTACCTGCTCCCTGGTCTCCATAGCCCAATCTTGATGGCACAACCAGCTTCCTTTTCTCCCCAATGCAGATATCTGTGAGACCACGATCCCAGCCCTGGATCACCTGACCTGCTCCTAACTGGAACTTAAAAGGCTCATTTCTGTCATGGCTGAAATAAAACAGAATAAATAAATAAATAAATAAATAAATAAATAAATAAATAAATAAATAAATAAATAAATGCAAACCGATCATGCTGATTTTTGAAATCAACCTGCCTCTTTACCAAACAAAGCCAGTCAGTAAATTTAAAGCAAAACACACAAACAAATGGTTATGCAATTATGAGGCAAATGTCATCTGTCGAACAGTGACGGTGACAGCGACAACACGGACAGGCAGACTGAACAGAATATATACATTCAGTTACAGTGTCTGTATATAAAAATTGGTTTCTTAAATTTCTCGTTTACCCAAGTACCCATGTACACTGTTTTGACACCAATTTAATGATGCCATTTAATACTCCAAAACCCTGCCAGCAAGTTCAGATTTTATCGTTGATAAAGCAAGATAATGCCTTCGTTTATGAAAATTTGTAATTAGGGACACATTTCTCCATAAATAAAAACATTTTAAAGGAAATGACGGCACGGGGTGGTAGCTTTATGACTTGTGGTCAATTTTTGCATGTTTTTAAGCCTAATTAAAGGGATAATAACTCTCTTTTTGGCCAAAAAATTAATTTTCCTGGAGAAAACAACAATTTTCTGATACTTACCAAAGGTTATTTAATCCATTTTTACACTCAAAGTTAGTCCCTGTTTTTTTCTAAGTTTTTTTTTTGTTATAATCTCTAAATAGATATTAACTGAGTATAACCATCAATGGAAGCCACTTGGTCTGAAGACAAGCTCAGATGTCAGAATAATAGCATAATAACTGCCATTTTTGTGGTAAAACAGAATATGTTATATTTCTATGAGTTGTTCACAATGTTTTTATTGTGAAATATAGATCTCATAAGAAGAGGTATTATCCCTTTAAAACCAGACATGATAAAACATAGGACTGGGGCTGAGTCGAGCAATGATTTGTAAGTAGAAGAAAATTGCCCAAATATCCAAGAAAACTTATTTTGGCAGATAAATGCCACAAGAGCACTTTTCTCTTTGTGTAACGCTGCAATTGCTGATGTGGCACTGAAAATGTCTCACATAAAAGTTAAAATGGATTGACTTAGACACATTTAAAACTGGTTCCTTTACATTTAAAATAAAACAAGACCATTAGCCTTTATATACAGAACACATTACAATGATAAATATTCACAGACATTTTCGTTGTGTATACTTTTTACAGTAACTTGCACTATTTTTACTGTAATTTTTAAAGGTAATATATATGAAGCGAGTTGATATATGCCAATCTCTGGGTACCACTAAACTCAACCAATTGTCACCATTGAACAAATGCATCTAACTTAAAGATGTAGAAACAGTCTTCTGTCAAAAGCAAACACTTTGAAAGGAATAAAAAAAATGGTTAATTTAATCCTATTTTTCATCACTGATATATCAGCCTGCTGAAAAAAGCTTATTTTGAATTTCCCAAGTATGTCAAAGTTACCAGCAACATAGGAATTAAGGCTGGGTAAATACAAACTGGTAACATTTTAGTATCCTTTTAACTTAGATAATATAACAAAAAGTGAACAAGTACTTAAAATTAATTTAAAGATTAAAATTACCGTGAGTTTAGTGAATGTTACTAAATACAGAAAAAAGGCTGTTGAAAGCGGTTTTAAATCAAGACCACAAAGCTTTTTTTCTGAGCATGTTTTCCTTTATATGCCTATAGAGATTAACCCAAATAATTGTCTTCTTAATCTGGTTGATTGTTTGGTATTAGTGACTTAAAATAAATTATTAAGAATAAAATGAAGTCAATCATCACACTTTTTTGATACTTTACTACTTTACTGTGGACAAACTCCAATACCAAAGAGTATTTTTTCAAATTTTCCTGAAATATGATTTATGAAGAGATATTTTCTGATTTCTTTCTGTGCTCTATCCAACCCTCCATTGCTTATGTCAAACCTTATTTGAACTAAAACCATGAGTGCTGCCAGTGCACATGCTGGTTGCTATTATATTGCTCATGCAACAGTAATGTGACATGCATTACTGTATATATGTCATTTAATCAACAGACTTTTACAAACAGGAGGGACAGATACATAGGTCCAATGTATGTCAAGAAATTTGAAGAGGGTGCAGTTTTAAAGCCTTGTTTTGGCTGACTGAGTAATTAATTAGGTTTACCATTTGGCCTGTCAACTTCATTTGAATTGTGAGTACTGGCAGTACGGCAGTCAATGGTATTTGCTTTTGATTACGTAGGGAATTTTGACTCTGGGTTTAAAAATTCTGAATACATTCATTTGTAGTGATTTATATATGCTGTACAAGAAATCTATTCTTACTACATAATTATGTAACTTGAACGAGAAGGGTTGGGACTAAAACCATGGGTACTGCCAGCGCCTTTGGTGGTGGTACAATTATAACCATCTACAGATGGAACAATTTGCTTTATGATTTTCCTTTCGCAATTTAAATTTACATGAGGAAGAAAAGATACCATTGAAGCCAGATGTTATCAAAATATTAGAGAAGGATATTAAGATTTGTACCAAATCTTAAAAGAAATGCAAATTAGGTATGCTAATGAGACTAACTATACAATTATTCAAAAGACTTCTGTAAGATAACTGTATGACTGTAATCATGATATGAGGACACAGAAGTCCTGGTAAGCTGACAAATAATTTACTTGTGAACAAATACAGATTATAAAATATATAAATATATATCTTAATTTCCTTCTTGCAAGCTATAAATATGATCCTATCAGCAGTGTTAGAAATTAAGGCTGGACTGTCTGCCTGGGGCAGACAACTTTCAGAATGGGCAGAGAAGTTTTCCCACCCGGCAGGCATTCTAGCCAGCTAATTTTCAAGACGGCTGAGCTTTTGGTCCTCTATCTACTATTGCCAGATAACTGTTTCGGCCCAGAGGTTCATCAAGGGCATAAACTGTACAGATTTAAAATTACGAAATAACACATATTGTAAAAGGGGACGTATGTCAAATCCTAGACCATGTATAATGACTTTCTCATTATATCATGCACACAAGGTAATACAGGCAGTAAAGCAAACTGTATAGGTATTACATATTGATAAATACCTTATAATTTCAATGCAATATCAGCTGATAAATAAAATGTTCTCCAACAGGTACTTTTAAATAGTAGTGTTTTCCAGAGTGTTGTCCATTTCAGTCCATGATAATTTTTTTTTTTTTTTTGTCTTTAAGCGTCCAAATATAGTTGCTCAATGAAATCTGATGGTTTTTGGGTATGTACTTTAAACACATTTTACACTAAGTGTCCAAATTCAGAGCTGCACAAGTTGTCACTTGTGTCGACTCAATGGTCCCAAAGTTACGACTTTACATGGCGCATGAGACTTTACTATCAAATTAACAAATGCCTGCTTTGTGCGATCATATACAATGATATTCCTTCTAGATGTATGCCTAAATTCGCTCTATAGAAGTGTCATTTGTTGTCTAAATTAGGGTCCTATGACGTAAGTTATAAATGAAACATGAGCAAGAAATAAGCTCAAGTTAAAAAATAGTCTAACATGAAAGAGAGAGGATGGATAATGCCAGTAAAGACTAGAAGAACTTCTTACCTGGAATCAAACTTGGAACCATCTGTTTTAAGTGTGCCAGTATAGTGCATAGAAAGCATGTCACCGGGTTTTGCCTTCCTCTCGCATTCTTCGGGTTTAAAAACTGTCTCAACTTGGAGCTCCTCTTGTTCTTCGACTTTCTCCTCAGATGCAAGAGCTAAAACAGCGAGCATAAAAGTCGGCAAATACTTGAAAAGATTCATTTTGTGAAAGTTTCTGTTAAAAGTTACCTTTTGTAATGCGTCAATTCCCTTGCATTACCCAGCAGCAGTGACTTAAGAGATGACAACCTGGGAACGTGGCACACTTTAAATAGGTCAACATGGGGCATATTCTCATTGGATAAATAAAAACTAGTTCAAGGTCATATTGAAGCAGTCTTAGGAACATATTTTAATTTTAGATTATTAGTGTATTTTTTTCGTGTAAAATTTACCTTTGTTTGATTTGAACATTCAGTTATTTCTATAAAAGCCAATTGGCATTTAACGTTGTAATATACCTTGACTATCTGCCAATAAAAGAAAAATAGTCAAAACAATGTACATGCAATATTATGTGGGTTCAAGGTGCTAGCTCAAATACTGTTTCCAAAGAAAATGACAAAATGAACCAGTCTGGAACTTCATGGATGGAAGGAACGTTGTGGAAATGGACAAATTATTTTTCAGGTAAATCACCAATAACGTATATCTTAGTATCACCCTTTAATTATAACATTTATACATAAATGTATGGATCCTCCTGCACTCACGTTCCATAAACACAGATTGAATATTCTTATCAAATTACCGTACGGTATAGATCTTTTAGAAGTAAAAAAAAGTTATGATATTGATGCATCTATGAAGATCTACTATAAAGATATAATATGCAATCCAAGCTTTCGCCCCCTAGGCCTTCTTCAGGGATTTTGAAAAAAAAATTGACTTTTTAAAATGTAATTTGTAATCCAAGCTTTCGGCCCCTAGGCCTTCTTCAGGGATTTTGAAAAAAAAAAAAAAAAAAAAATTATAAAAAGTATCAAACACAAGCCGAGAAAACTTTTATATCGTTAGCTTATGGCCAACCAGGACATAGCAGTCTGTCCGCAGATCTGGCATATCAATGCATAAGCGGCAATTATTACAAAAACACCTACGCGCTTGCACAAAATATTCCGCGACATGTGTTTCGTGCCCTGTTTTCCATAAAGCTCTGTGAATAACTCATTATTCCTCTTGATACTTTTAATGAATAAAATTTAGAACTGTATGCGTGCAATATAAATTTCACATTTTAGTTTCGACGAAAGCCTTGTATGAGCTGTCTAAAAATAGCACATGCATTTTTCCCCAAGCTGACCATGGAATTTTGTACCCTAAAATAAAATGATTACAGAAAAAATGGACAAACTTAATTTTTTGACATAATAACGATTTATGAAACTACATGTGCTCAAATTTGGCCACGAAGAATAAATTTTTTGTACAACCTTCCATATTTGTAAAATCTCTATTTTAGTGGGAAGTATGTAGGTCAGTTGAAACTGGGAGTGTCACGTTGCACTGAGCAAGTTGCCCGAGGGCATTTTTCTCAGGGAATCTTGCATTTTTGTTAAAAATGTTGAACACTCAGCCTTTTCAAATATATTTTTATAGAATATAGTGTGTCAATGTCATAGTGAGAGTGGCTATGAAAAATAATACGCCGTGAAAAAAACGTCATCAGTCCTGCAGATTTCAGCAGCTCAGTAAGATCGCTGCCATAACATGGTTTTAGAATGGAATAATAACCATAATAACCATTTTTATCTAAGTTACAGTGTTTTTCTTTTTTTTTCAGCCTATATGCAACACTAATAACACGATAAGTGGAAAACTGTTTTACCTTTTGACTTGAAACTTATATAGAACTGATGAATATTGATAACACACAGGTCAAGTTCAAAAATCAGCATGATCAGGCCATTATTTAATAAGTTATATTGTTTTTTATGTAAAGACACAGATGTGTCTGTACATATTGCCATCACTTGTGTTTGTCGTCGCCGTCGTCGCCGGCACTGTGCACTTTCCTTGGAAACACGATAAGTGGAAGGCAGTTTTACTTTTTGGCTTTATATTAACAGAGCTGATGAATATTCATAAAACGCAGGTCAAGTTCGAAAATCAGCATGATCGGGCCATTATTGTAGAAGTTATGCTGTTTTTTCACTTTTCAGCATATATGCAACACTGTAAACACATTTCAAGGAAACCCGTTAGGCCTGTTGTCATGAAACTCACAGGAGTAATTGATCTTACTAAAACACAGGTCAAGTTTGAAAATCCTCATGATTGGACCACTCTTGTAGTAGTTATGCTTTTTTTTTTCACTTTTCAGCATATATGCAACACTAAACACAATATAAGAAAAAGAAAATTGTCATTAAACTCACAGGAGTGGTCAATCCTGCTAAAATACAGGTTGAGTTCAAAAATTTGCATAATCGGGCCATTATTTTAGAAGTTATGCTGTTTTTACACATTTCCTCAGATTCAATTCTTAGGCATGTTAACAGTTTCATTATTTAATTAATAAGATACGTAAAAGTGTTTGTTTGACATTTCCTACATCTTTACAACATTGTTAGTTGATTTTGTGAAAATGATGGTAAACTTGTTATCGTGTATTGTGTAATAAAGTTTCAAAAATGGAAATAAACTCATATCATTGCAGTTTGTCAGATTCAATCATTCACTATGTTCAGAATCTCAGAAATTGGACTTTTAACACTGCTCGATTGATATTTTTCCCCCATCTCATCAATTTTTTAAGTTGATCATATAAAAATGGCAGTAAACTGTAAATTTTGTTTTATGTTAAAAATTGTTAAAAATGAAAAAAAAAAAAAAAAAAACATTTCAGAACACTGTTGTCTTGTTTACATTTTGGCATTTTCAAGTTGTGACTTTGAAGTTCCATGGGCCTGAAGACCTTTGCTAGTCACATTTTCTGAATATCCATGATACTAATATTTTATTATTAAAAATTGATGGTTATTATGCTGTTAAACATTATGTAATATTGCATCAAAATTTAAAGAAACCCCTATTTTGGGCACTGCTCCCATGAAGACCATTTAAGAAAAACCATATCACTTACTGTTCTCAAACTTACAAGAAAGAAACATGGGACTAAAATACAGCTTTAGTAGGCAAAGCAGTCTGTTTGGTAAATTTTTCTGGCAATTAAACAGATTTTTGTGAAAATTTAATTTTTCACATATTTTCAAGGTGTGACTTAGAACCTCCACGGGCTTGAAGACCCATGCTAGTCACATTTTCTGAAAATCCATGATATGTATATATTATTATTATTAAAAATTGATGGTCATTATGCTGTTAAGCATTATGTAATGTTGCATCAAAATAGAAGAAAACACAATTTTTGGTGCTGCTGCCATGATGACCATTATGGGAAAATCGTGTTACTTATGACTGTCAAACTTTTAAAAAAGAAACACAGGACTACTTTGTATCAGATGCTTCATTTTATTTGACAACACAGTGTTTATGATGGGCATGACAGGAAAAACAGTGCAAAAAAAAAAAAAAACATTCTTCTGGTTTTCGTTGATTTCTTGAAGGTGTCAATTTCTTGAAAGGCGAGTCTACCTGCAGTGCATTATCAAAATTGGTGGTGATTATGCCGTTAAGCATTATGTAATGTTGCATCAAAATAGAAGAAAACACAATTTTTGGTGCTGCCGCCATGATGACCATTATGGGAAAATCGTGTTACTTATGACTGTCAAATTTTTGAAAAAGAAACACAGGACTAAAATGCAGCCTGAGTTGGACAAGCAGTCTAATTGTCTTCTTTTTCTGGAAGTTATACATTTTAGTGAAATATTCATTATTATGGTTTTCTGAATATCCATGATACTTATATTTTATCACTAAAAATTGATGGCCATTATGCTGATAAGCATTAATTAATATCGCAATAAAGTTGAAGAAACCCCTCTTTTAGACACTGCTGCCAGGATGACCATTAAGGGAAAACCATGGTTCTTATGGTTCTCAAACTTACTGAAAAGATTCATAGGACTGAAGTGCAGCTTGTGTTGGAAAATCAGTGTAATTGCTTTCTGTTTTGGAAGCAATGCACTTCTTTATGAAATTTTCATTTTTATGTACAGACACAGATGTGATGAATATTCATAAAATGCAGGTCAAGTTAAAAAATCAGCATGATCGGGCCATTTTTTCAAAAGTTATGCTTTTTTTTCTCTTTTTTTCAGCATATGTGCAACACTGATAACACATTTCAAGGAAAACTGATAGGCATATTGTCTTGAAACTCACAGGAGTGATCAATCTTACTAAAATACAAGTTCAAAAATCAGCTTGATTAGATGATTTTAAGAAAAGTTAGGCAGTTTTTTTCCTTTTTTTTAGTATTTTTATTTTCTTCTTTTGTCTGTACATTTGACAGCTTTGCTGTCTTGTTTTTCATACTTTTCAAAGCAAAAAGGGCTTCTGGTATTTAATCTTACCCTCTAATTGCTTTGACATATTGCTGTCTAAAATGTAGATTCTATCCTTATCAACTATTTGCAATTGGTCCAGGTACGACTCCTCAAGGCTCTTATTACAGCTGTTAGAAAACAGGCTACTATAAAGTTTATCAATTTCAATTAGTATTTGTTCTTGATTAGTGGTTCTTTCATCACTGTGTGTGTGTGTGTGTGTGTGTGTGTGTGTGTGTCTTTATATATATATATATATATATATATATATATATATATATATATATATTTTTTTTTTTTTTAACCATTTTATTTATAAAATTTCACTTCTCTAATCCAAAAAGTATTTTGTTGGTTTTTCCCCTTCTTCAGCCCACTTCACTTTTGTTTTAGCATATAAACCTTCAATGTATTCCTTACAAGTTTCCTCTTTTTCTTGTTGTACCGGTACCACCAGTGCAGTACTGGTGGCACCCATGGTTTTAGTCCTGACCTGTCTCATCCGCCGGTTTAAAAAAACAAGAGACATGTAATAACCCCAACTCCGAGCTCCAGACTGTTGAGCACTCTGTACCAAACTCACGATTATATATATATATATATATATATATATATATACACACACACACACATACACACACACACACACACACACACACACACACAATTAAAATTAATAAATAAATAAATAAAGAAGAGACATGCAAGAACCCTGACACCGAGTTTTACGGGCATACCCAGAAGGTTTTTCAAATAAATCTCCTGACGATCGGGCATACCTTCTGGGTATGCCCATGAAACTCGGAGTTGGGGTTATTGCATGTCTCTTGTTTATTTGTTTATTTATTAATTTTAATTGTGTACAAATGCTCCGGACTGTTGAGCAGTCAGTTCCACACTCATGCTTGTTATATATATATATATATATATATATATATATAGAGAGAGAGAGAGAGAGAGAGAGAGAGAGAGAGAGAGAGAGAGAGAGAGAGAGAGAGACAGAAAGAGCTATGGTAATATATAAAATTATGGCAATTAAGATACCAGAAAGGGTTAATGCCTCTTTGACCCTCTAGGTCAGTCAGTGTTTTCCATGCACGTTTACACAATTAAGAGAGCATCAGATAATCAGAATGCATCAAATACCTTTTGGGAATGTATGGGCTCTCCCCCACCCCTTTATGACATGACAAAATGATTGCCTGAATTATGTTACTGTATCTGTAGATGAATGTTTGTTTGAATGTTCAGATCAGAAGTCTAATTGCATTATTGTAATTTTTAGGCTGGCAGTCACGTTGGTTTATTCTTGACAATGGAATCCTTTCCTATTACAAGTCTCAAGATGATGTCGAAAATGGCTGTAAGGGTTCCATTAACATGTCAGTTTGTGATGTTATTGGTGAGTACAGCTACTGTGTCACGAGATGTTGTTACTTAGTGCTGTTGCTGCTCAGTTTATATTGCACATCCACTTGGCAATATTTATGTTTAAGGGTCAAGGGAAGAAGGTAAAAGAGAGGTAAATCCATGTTTTTGAGGTTTTCATGTACATACAGGATATAGCCATCACCAGTGTTTGTCATTGCCGCCGCTGTCGTCTGTATCAGGTCCCACCACCTTGCATATTGCTTCTCAGGGACACTCCCATTGACCAGGTCTCTTCATTCCACTATCTCGGGGGCCCAAGTGACATCCAAAGCCTGTTGCAAGACAGAAAACTGAAGAAGAGTTGGGCATGGGAAAAATGCATTCACCTGTCTGGGCCCAATCTTCAAGGATGCTGGCCTGTCTTTTAAAATAAAGATTCGCCTTCTCAAAACCTTTGTCTGGTAAACTCTTGTATTGCTGCAAGTCCTGAACTTTGAGAGTCCTGATTTGTTTGATATTATGTTGAGAAGTTAATCTTGGTGTTTTCTTTAATCATCCTGTGTTTAGGGTAAATTGGTGCATTTTCATGGGAGAAGCAGCCATTAGATGCCAAAAGTGAAAGCCAGAACCATAAAGCTACAGCCCTCTTGTTTGTGCAATTTGTAGAGCTTGTCAAGTGCAACACTGAAAGCGGTATCATTTATTTTTTCATAAGGTTTAGGAGTCAGTTTTGTAAATTTATTCAAAAAGTAATGCTCAATGGTATACATTTTTCAAACTAAATTTGAATAGCAAATCATATATTGGCAATCTTAATGTGACATTGAATTTGACCTTTGACTTACTTTCCACCATGAACTGTACTTTGCAAATAGGCAGAGATACACACATACTTTTAGTTACTGTTGAACTTGAATATTGGGAAATCAAAAATTGAGCATCTTAATGCAGTCTTGAATTTGACTACTTTTCCGACTTTTTCTCATAAAATACACATATTTACTAGCCCATATTTCTCCAAAGTTAAAATAGATGCATCCATAGCTATGATTTAGTCTGATTTAGTTTAATCTAGTTAAAATTTGGTTTTGATTTTGGTGTTCAAAATTTCAGGGCGCTCATATTGCGAACTGTCCCTAAAGATATGCAAAGTGCCTTCTTGTGTCGCTCTGTTTGGTTAACATGTCTGATTGATGATATTTCATGAGCAAAGTCATTTGAACGAATATGAAAATTGCTTTCTCATCTCTCTCAGATGGTGAACAATCTCCTGCTGAATAGAGAATGGCCTTCTCGTATAACTCAGATTAGTAAAGATGTCTGGCTGGCGATCTTCTTTGAACGAAGCTCAAAGGAATATGAGAATTGCCTTCTAGTTAGCTCACAATGGTAACAATTTCCAGTTGACAATCTTCCCCCAATGAAGTCTCTTGAACAAATAAGAAAATTACATTTTCGTCTCACTCAGATTGCAAACAATCTCCCTCTGGAGACATGAAATTCGCCTTCTTGTCTATCAGCCCTGTCATGTGCCATACGTATGAAGGTTCGTAAGGTGTCCACTTTCATAATTTGGCAGTAAGTTTGCCCAGACTTTGTTTAGGGCTTACAATTGTTTTGTACCAAATGTAAGTCACTCTTGTCACTGCTGCGTTCAGTGTGGATTATGTATTTTAAAGTAAGTTGAAACATTTTATTGAGGTTTATAAGCTTTAGGCGGTTGTTTCGTCATGACTGAAGTACAGGGTGCACTATAAAGTATTATTCAACAGGGAAGCATCATACAAGCTAGGTATGTCAAATTACTTCAAGAGAATCTGGTACAACGTCCACGGCTATCTGGACAAGCCAAGTGGTCGTTTTTCAATAATTTTGTTAGTCGTCCATCCGTCTTTGAAAATATAGACTATCTGGTGATGCCAGCAACCATCCAAATGATGACTGGATGGTTCACTGGGAAAAGCCTGTGAGAAAGCATCTGTCCCTGTCATCTCACCTGTCCGCATTGCTCTGTAAATTCTAAATCTAGAAAAAAAGGACACGTTTTACGTATTGAACTCAAAATTTGTGAAAATTTATTAGCAAATTGTTAGTTTGAAACATTTTCTGAAGGATTTACACCATTCAAGCCATCTGATTCAAGTGTTTTGTAATACTAACTTCTGGTTTCTGATTTTCATATGAAAGTCCATCCCACAGATGCCAGCAGGATTGACCTGATCATTCCAGGTGAGCAGCACTACTATGTGAAAGCCTGCACACCACAAGAGAGACAGACATGGCTGGTGGCTCTGGGCAGCTGTAAAGCTTGTCTTGCTGATGGCAAGGGAGGAACCATTGGACAGAGAGGTATTGAAATCTTGAAGACAAAGCAGGGGTTGAGAGAGGTGTTGATTTTTGCTTTAACTCTTTCAGCTTCATACATTTTTATACTTTAAACTCAGAAAATTTGCCTGCCATACAATTTCTTGATTATTTACTGAATGGTAAATCTTGTTTTTGTTACTTGAACCAAAGCAAACCTCAGAAGTTTTGAAATTTCAAGGGCTTACAAGAGCCAATAATTCTAATTTCGGTTATTTAGCAGCCAAAGGTCAATAATGCCAGGGTTATTGCACCACAAGGATGAGCACTGGGGGTACACATGACCCATCTCTGCTGCATGTTGGATATCGCCGTTCGGATCCTATAGTTTATTGTGTGATCCAGGATAATGCTCTTTCATGGTGCTGCAGTGGTGTGACATTCATGTGATTAATAACCACTGAACTGTAAATGTTCCAAGAAAGAGAAAGAGAGAAGATACAAAATGAGACTTATTCAAAAATGAATAATCATTACAAATTATTGAAACACTGACATTTTAAATAACTCAGTAATCCTTAAAGGGATAATAACTAAATAAGTTAATTTTCCTGGAGTAAACAGCAATTTTCCCATACTTACCCTGGGGTCGCGCTAGCACTCGCCAATTTCACCAAATGCGAAAATTAATTGACTTTGGCGAAAAAATCTGAAAAATGAGTATAGTAATTTCGCCAAGTTGACAAAAGCATGTCTGGTCGAGCTGGGTACGCAAACTTCCCATAACTGTTCGACACAACTGTGAAAACGGCATCAACATGCACCAGATTATGTTTAGAATACAATCTAATTATAGCAAGGTCAATTTACCATATAAAGAAATTGACCAGTGACGCGATGCCGGTTTTTTCCCCATAGCGTGGCGCGTGTGGTCGATTAGTTTCTTAAAGCGTGTTCAGCGTGCGCTATGAATAATTATGGCGGGTGCAGGATCTAAAGAAAAACTTTCCAATATGAAGAAGATATTGCTCCGAAGAAATTATTTTGCGTTAAAGCACAGAAGGAAATGAGTAACTTTGTTGTGTAGGGGTAGGGACAGGTCAAAGATTTATTTGATGAAGCCAGCAAAGACTTTCTCACAGCAGAAACTCCCGGAGACAACATGTGAAAAAGATGGTATGTACCGTGCAATCTTGTGAAAAGTAATTAAAGTTTCAGTCAGTGTATTATATATTTAAAAGCATATCGTTATCTTGAACTTTCCCTCGTTGACATAACTGTTACAAATCACAACAAGCGATTCCAGTCCCACAACTGAAAAATCAATAAACTGGTACCAGCTGAGACTCATCTAAGTTGCATTTGCTGTATTGACTTGGGGCTCAGACTAAACTGAATTTTAGGCTAAACATTTAAATCAAAAGTTGTTATTGCCCAAAATTATGTCATTTTTTAGAAGTAGGAATTTTTTTCTTAAGCACGGATGAGGTTTTTCCGACTATTTGTGGATTTCCGACTTTTTGGGGTGGGACCAAAATAGCATACCTGAGATTGATGCAGATCTTAAATAAAAATGGGGGGGGGGGGAGGGGTTTGACGTATGCCACCAGCGAGGCCTTGGCTTTAGAAA